AAAAAAAGCACTTAGCTCGCATGGACCTATCGCCCTGCAGTAACGGTGGCTCATAATTAACCTTTGGCTAGAAAATGGTTCTGCACGCCGTTTGCTCCCAGAGCCCCTTTGGTTTTGGAAAGGGCTGCGAAAAGGCTGCGCGGCCGGACTGACACAACCCCTGAGTGAAATCCCTGGGAGAAAGGGACTGCTTCCCGGGATGCGACAGGGAGCTCCCTCCCAGCACTGCTATCAGGCCCCCCCCCCCCCCCCCCCCCCCCGGTCTCCAGCAGGAAGGGCAGCCCCTCAGCAGCCCCCCAGCCCAAAGCACAGCGCTCCCCCTCTCTCCGGAGGGGGTCTGGGTCAGGCACAGCATGGCGAGGACCCGGATCGGGGACAATCCTCCACACTTTGGCCCGCCGGGCACAGAGAGCACGTCTCCGTCTCGGGACTTTCTTCCCAGCTTTCAGGTGTGATCATCAACTTGGGAATCAGAGACAGAAGCGCATTAAAATTAGAGCAGAGTGCCTTCAGCGCTCCTCGACGCTCTCCTCCCCTCTGAAATAAGGACTTTTCCCCAAGTGGCAACACTCAAGGTAAAAAAAAAAGAAAAAAAAAAAAAAAAAAGGCCTCAGAACTAGCCCAATTTTAAAAAACCTCCCTCTCAGCTTGATGCAATTTGTGAATGTCCTCTGCACTACTAACAAGAAGCTTCTGCAGAAGGCCAGGCCTGGGTGCCCCTCCTGCACTGGGAGAGGGGCCAGGTCTCTGCTTATTCCTGGGATGGCAGAAATATCCCAGAGATGGGAAAAGTCTCTTAGATCCCACCTGGCCCAGCCCACCGGCTGCTCCTATGCACCCTCCCGTGCAGGGCTCCCACCCGCTGCCTCCAGAGCTGCTTTAGCCCATGAGCCTTGAGGCTGTCAGGAAAGCCAGCCTGTTTTCTTCCCCTCTTAAATTTCTCCCTGGTCCTTATGGTTCTACCTCAGGCTCCGTGAAACGATTCCGAACATTCGGCACCAGCAGCAAAACCTCCACCTCCAGACACCAGGACGAGACACCCCAGCCCAATGACACCGAGGTACCGGCCAGATTATTTTTAAGATTACAACATCAGCCCCCGCAGAGGGTAAACGTGCAGCTCCTGCTAGACTTGCGCAGAAACCAGCCAGAAATGTCCAAACCCTTCGGCCTGACCCGTTTCTGCGCTGGTCCGGCAGCGTGGCCTGCAGGCAGGGATTGCTTCCCGAGAGGCGCCCGCTGTGCAGACACCCAGGTCCCAGCTCTCCTCAGCTTCTGCTACGCCAAACACCTCCCGGACACCAGCCTGCCTCTCTGTACCGAGGTTTGGATCCCGTCTTCCCGCTGACCTGCTGCGGGACAGCTCAGCTCGGCGCTGGCGACACCGGCCCTGCCGGCAGCAGCGAGCCCGCGGCGCCTGCAAGGGGAAAAGGCGCTCGGGGTGAACATCTTCAAGCCTCCTGTCGGGGTAAGAATTAGTAAGTGCTGTAAAGGTCCCCGCTGTTTTTTTTTCCCAACCATCGTTTCCATTAGCTGTTGCTTATTTTCCAACGTGAGGGCTTTTTTTTTTTTTTTTTTTTTTCCACCTTTGCTGCAAAAAGAAGCTCGCTGAACAAACCGGCTGCTCAAAAAACCCAGAAGTTTGTGTCACTGGAAACACTTCCGAACCCAGCGCAGGGGAAAGGCTCGCTTTCCCAGAGAACCCCCCGTCCTGCCAGCTGCCCCGATTTAAATGCCGAGGAAGCAGCTCTGCCGCGCGTGTGCCAGTGCCGGGCCCCGCTCGCCGGGAAGGCCCCAGCTCAAGCGGTTCAACAGAGGCAGGAGTGAACGGGGAGCCACCTTTCACAAAACAAAAATTAAAGCCTTGTGACATGTTTTACCTGTTAGAAAACAGTTCCCATTGTTTCCATATTTTGAAATATATTATTAAGAAAGACAGAGCGTCGTTGCTAAAACCCAGCGATGTAATGCAATGCTGCAGCTGGATGGCAGCTGAAAGCTCCTCGCTGCTGAGCTGGGCAGAGACCCTGCAACTCCTCTGACACTTCTAACCAAGGCTACACCGGCACACAGCCACGCCACTCAACGCTGGTGGGAGAGAGGCGACGGGAATATTCTTCATCTACTGCTTTAGGGACGGGCAGAAAACCTCCCTAAACCCCACTGCTGAGCCCCGACACTGGGGTTTGTCACACCACAGAGCCGACGTGGCCGCTGCATCCATCCGCAGGAGCCCGGCCTCGCAGCGGGGTCCTAAACCTCCAAGACAGGTCTGAGACCCCGGGGACAACAGGAGACCATCACCCAGCCAACACCCACGTTTCAGGTGCCTTAACTCAAGAACTGAGCAAACCCGGCTGCAATTTCCATCCTTTTTATAAATAAAACAGGGGAAGAGAGAGAGAGAAAGAGAGAGAAAACCCTCTGAGGATCCAGATCAGTGATCGAAGCGAAGTCCCGCAGCGGGCAGGTGAGACCCCAAGCGCCGTCTCCCACCAAAGCAGGGGTGTCATTTTTCACCAATATTCACCACCTGGAGAAGCTCCTCCCCGCTGGAACTGCTCCTAACACTAACACGGCAGGACACGAGCCTCGCCCGCTCATTGATATAATTTTGTTTAAAAGCCTGCTGATGGAAAAAGCACTCTAAACCAGCACAGCGTAAAATGTCAAATCCCTCATCTTAAACGCGCTCCTGAGATTCAGCGACTTCAACAAAGTTTTAATTCAAAGCAAAGCGAGGGCCGTCTTCTACCGTGTCTTTGTTCGGCATCTAAACCCGTGTTGTGCCCTCTGGGCATCACCACCATGCGAATAAATAATAACCGTGAGCCACGGCGCTGAGCCTACAAAAGATGAAAAGATGTTTCAGGAGACCGCCCTGGCAGCAAAGGGAGGGAGGAGAAGCCGCTCCTTCAGCACTTGCTCGGACAGATGGACAGACACGGACCGCAGGAAGGAGACCCTGGCATTTAGGGAGTGAAGCCGTGCTGCGCGTCCGTTATTGCTTCCAGCCCAACTTCGCTAACGACGCTCAGGCGCGTTTTAAATGGAACTGATCCACTGAGAGCCGAGAAAAATTAATCTGCTGCTGGATGCTCCGTCCTCACGCCCGTCCCGCTCCTCTGCCCTCGCGTCACCCCGCTCCGTCCCGGCTGGGAGGCCACGGCAGCCCCCACCGCCCCCCTCAGTCCCCTTGGGAGCACAAGCCGGTGCGGTGCCAACGGAGCCGGCGCTCGGGGCCCCGCAGCTCCCCCGAACACCGACCCCCTTTCCCGGAGGGCTCCAGAGCCCCCGCTGTCCCGCCGGCCCATTGAGGCCGCTCATGTTTCCTCGAGTCCTTGGAAGCAAAAGCCAAGATAAGGCCGTTGTCCCGTCGCCGCCGGCTCTGCCGCCGCAGCCGTGCCGCAGGACGCGGCTCTCCCTTCCCCACCGCCCCCCCACCCAAGCCAAGGGGCTCAGGGTGCGACCCGGCAGACGCAGACGCTCCCTGTTTTGTCCCTACCGGTACCCCGATACGCAGAGGGAAGGGATCTGCCAGCTTCTCCCTCGCCTCACGGGCACTGCCTGCGGAAGCCCCCTCCCCGTTCTCGTAACACAGACCCCCCCACACACACCCCGGAGCTCAGGCAAGCTCACAGCTGGGCTGCCAGCAGCAGCCTTGGCCCGAGAGCTTCCCCAGAGCCACCGCTGCCTCTTCCCGTGCCCCCCCCCGGGACTCTGGGTCCCCTTTTGGCACTCACTGTGGGGGCACTGGGTGCCGGGGGGGGGGGGGTGGGAACAAAGCCCCTGTTTGGGACCGACAACAGACCGCGCTCTCACTCTCTGCCAGTCAAACAGGTCAGTCGGTGGCACCGCAGCTTCTCTTCAGACAGGAACAGAGTCAGGCAGCACCTGGGACGCTTTTAGGGAACCCGTACCCCCTCTCTGTTCCGGGGGGGGGGGGGGGGGGGCTGCCAGAGCCACGCGCTGCCCAGCCCAGTGCCCCCCCCTGCGCAGGGGGAGAGCAGTGCAACCCTTCCTTACCAGGGAAGGGCTCCAGAGCTGCTGCAGGGTCGGTAACTGGGGGACAGCGGGGAGCACTGGGGGACAGCGGCTGGGCACCATGAAAACAGGGGGGGGTGAACCCCGCGGCCAAGAATCGCCGGCGCACAACCACAGAAGAAGCTCCGGCGGGTCGGGAGAACCCTGCCCCGAGCCAAGAGCTTCCCCCAAAAAGCAGCGCCCGCAGCAACCTTGTCCCCGGAGCCGGTGGCGCGGGAAAAGCACTGTGGGGAGGCTCACCCACAAACACACCCCCCCACCCCCCAAACCTGACACCCCACAGAACAGCAGCGGGGAGTGATCCCAAGCACGGACAGTCAGATCCCTGCCAGGACAGGGATGCAGAAGCAGTTCAAGTACTTTGGGGGGCGTGGGGGGGCTCCCCGCTCCCCCACTGTCGCCCATTGTTTCCCAGAAATGGCATCTTGCTGCCCGCACTGCTGGGGTGCTGAGGGGTGTCCCCCCCCCCCCCCCCACCTCGCAGGGGAGCTGAGCTGCCTCCAGCCCCCTGGTCCCGCACAGCGGCCAAGTTTCGGGGCAGCCCCCCCCGCCCACCCCCCGGGAAAGGGAGCTCGGGGAAGATTTCGGGGCGCAGCCGCGGGGGCCTCACCACCCCCCCACCCCCCCAAAACGCCTCCTTCCCCCTGCCCCGCTCACAACCGTGACACCCCCCCCCCGAAACACGACCCTGCAGGACACTGACACCCCACCCCACCCCAGAGCCCACGACCCACCCCCCCAAAACCAGCCCAGGAGAGACCCCGCGCCCCACCAGGGCAGCTCCCGCAGCCCCCCCCCACCCCGACCCCCCCGCCCCAACTGCCCCCCATTCCCCCCCGCCCCGGTCACACCCCACTCCCCCCCGACCACCCCCCCCACCGCGGCCCAACCACCCCCGCCCCCTGACAGCCCCCCCCCCCCCCCCCCCCCCCCCCCGGACAGCGACCCCCGCTCACCGGCGGGGCTCGGGGAGGGCCCCCCCGACCCGTCCCGGCCGCGGGGCGTGGGGGAGCGGCGGGGGGGGCTCAGGGGGTCGGCGGCGGCGGCGGCTCCATCGGTGGCGGCTTCACCTGAGGAGGGCCCGGGCCCCCCCCCCCCGCCCCGAGCCACTTCCGGCCCCCGCGCGCAGCCAGGCCGCGCAGCCGAGCGCCGACGCCCTCGAGTCGCCGGGAGGGGAGGGGAGGGTGGGGGGGGGGCGGGGGGCGCCATGGGCCGGCACCGGGGGGGCTCAGCCGAGCGCCGGCGCATCGAGCGGGGCTGCCCAGGGGCAGGCAGCGGAGCGCCGAGCGCGGGGCGGCGGGGAGCGCCGAGGGCATCGATGGAGCCGGGACGGTAATCGGTAACCGATAATCGATACGGCGGGGACACCCCAACCCGCCCCCCCCCCGCCCCCCAACTCGAGAGAGCACCAGGGACCGACCGTGAGCGGCGCCAAGGGAACCGGTACCGGGGAGGGGGGGCGGGGAGGCCGCGAGGCCGGGGATCCTGGGTTGGGGCGGGCGTGGGGCACACTGCGAGGGTGGTCCCGTAGCGGGGCTGGGGGGTCCTGGGGGGGTCCCCGGGGCGGGGGGGTCACGGCGTGAATCCCGGCGGTTATATAGGGTTACAGGATCCCATAGGGTCAGGAGGTCCTGTGGGGTCACAGGGCCCCATAAGGTCAGAGGGTCATATAAGGTGACAGGGCCCCATAGGGTCGGGGGGTTATATAAGGTCGCAGGGTCCCATGGGGCAAGGGGGTCCCGTGGGATCAGGGGATCCCATAGGGTCACAGGATCCTATAGGGTCAAGGGGTCATATAGGGCCACAGGGTCCCACAAAGCCCATAGGTTTACAGGGTTGTATAGGGCCAGGGGGTCCCATGGGGTCAGCGGGTTACATAAGGTCACAGGGTCCCATGGGACAAAGGGATCCCATAGGGCTGCGGGGTTATATAGAATCACAGGGCCCCATGGAGTCAGGGGGTCCCATGGGGTCAGAGGGTCATATAGGGTCACAGGGCCCCATGGGACAAAGGGATCCCATAGGGCTGCGGGGTTATATAGAATCACAGGGCCCCATGGAGTCAGGGGGTCCCATGGGGTCAGAGGGTCATATAGGGTCACAGGGCCCCATAGGTCAAGGGGTCCCATGGGAACATAGGGCCCCGTAGGGTTGGAGGGGTTTTATAGGGTCACAGGGTCCCACAGAGCCCATGGGTTTAGAGGGTTGTATAGGGTCAGGGGTCCCATGGGGTTGGGTGGTTATATAGGGTCACAGGGTCCCACGGAGCCCATGGGTTTACAGGGTTGTATAGGGTCAGGGGGTCCCAGGGTTACCTGGGGACAGGGGGGCAGCCAGGCCGGGGGGTCCCCCAGGGCCGTTCCCCCCGTCCCGCTATGCCAGCGCTGCCCCCGCCCTGCCCCAGGAAACGGCCGAGTCCATAAAACTGCGCAATCTTTATGGAGCCACTTTCACACGTCCGGGGGCCGTAAAAAGCGGCGACCTTTGAGCGGCCGCGGGCGCGCGGGGAGCGCGGCGGGGCCGCTCAGCGGGCGACGGTGACGCGGACGCGGTGCCAGGCGTTGCTGAGGACCCCGCGCAGGTTCCAGATGGGCGCCACGGTGTCGGGCTGCACGTTGTAGCTGCCGTCCACCGCCTTGCAGACGATCTCCAGCTCGGTCCCCGCCGCCACCGGCACCTCCAGCTCCCACAGCACCCAGGCCCAGGCGCGCCCCGGCACCGGCCGCTCGCCCGCCAGCCGCGCCACGCGCCAGCTCCGGCCGCCGTCCAGCGAGACGTCCACCCGCACCACCTCTCGCCCGCCCCCGCTCCAGGCGTAGCCCTTCACCGTCAGCTCCCCCTCCGGCACCGCCGCGCCGGGGCGCGGGTGGGTGATGGCCGACTGCACCGGCAGCTCCTGGATGGCAGGCGCCGTCGTGTAGTCCACCGTGTCCCAGTCCACGGAGGGGCAGAAGCCCTTGTAGTCGTTGCGCTGCCAGTGGCTGGTGCTCTCGGCCGGGCTGACGGCCACGCGCTGCACCCACTTGACGCTGCGGGCGCCCACCACGCCGGGCACCACCACGCGCAGGGGGAAGCCGTGGTCGCGGGGCAGCTCCTCGCCGTTCATCTCGTAAGCCAGCAGCACGTCGGCAGCCGGGCTGAGCGCGCGGCCGTAGGGGATGGAAGCGCCGTAGGGGACCCCCCCGACGTCGGTGTCCAGCCCCTCGAAGCAGACGTGCCACTCGCCCTCCCGCTCCTCCCCGAAGCCGGCGTGCAGCAGGACGTCGCGCAGCCGCGCGCCGCCCCACCGGGCTGTGCTGATGGCCCCGATGTCCCACGCCAGCCCCTTGACGGGGCGGACGCGGCTCATCTCGGTCCGGCGGTTGCCGGCGCACTGCAACGTGGCCGTCACCTCGTGCTTGGGGAAGCGGCTGCGCAGCTCGGACAGCGACAACGAGAGCGCCCGGCCCCCCGGCCCCTCCACCCGCAGCCGGTAGGAACCGGGGTCCACCACCGGCACCGGCAAGTGGTTGCGGGTGAAAAAGAGCTCGTTGGGCGTCAGGAAGCGCTCGGTCAGCAGCTCCGCCGGCGGCTCCGCGTTGAACGGCTTCTGGCTGTTGACACGCAGCCCGGGGTGCCGGGGGGGGTCCCCGGCGAAGGGGTCCTGGGCGGCGTCAGGGGCCGGCGGTGCCTCCTCGGGGCTCAGCTCCCCCACCTTGTACTCCCGCAGCAGCTCCAGGACGTGGGGCTGGTTGTGGACGGCGTAGAGCGCCCAGAAGGGCTCCAGGGGCCCCCCCGCCGCCAGCAGCAGCTTGTCGGCCCCCCCGGGGTGCAGCTCCACGAAGTCGGTGACGTCGAAGACCTCGGTGCCGTGGGTCACCCAGACGCGGTCGTGGGGGGAGCGGTGCCGCCCCACCTCCTCCCGCGTGTACAGGGGGTAGCGGGGGGTGGGGGTGGCCTGGGCTGCCTGGGCACCCTGGGGGACCCCGGCTTCGTTAGCGGGGGAGCGCTGCGCACCGGTGCCACCCCCCCATACCCTGCTAGGACCTTGGGGTTCCCCCCCCCCCAAACCAGCACCCCGGGGCTGTAACTCAGCCGGAGGGGTGGGATGCACGGGGCACCCGCTGCCTGCCCCCCCCCCCCCGGCAGTCTCAGCCCCCCCCTTCCAGAGAAGGACCCGGGGGTGTCCACCCGTCCCCCCCCGCAGGATCCGGGCCCCCCGGTGCCACCCCCCCCGGCCCCGCTCACCCGCCGCCGTCGCTCTCCGTAGGCCAGCACGGCCCCGAGGCCCAGCAGAGCCGCCAGCACCGGGGCCGCCCCCCGGGCCCCCCCCGCGGCCGGGCTGCCGGCGGGGAAGCGGGAGCAGGGGCGGCGTGGCAGCGGCAGCGGCGGGAGCCTGCGGGGAGAGCGGAGCTGAGCCCGGCGCGGGGCGAGCGGCGGCGGCGGGGACCCCCGGGGGGGGGGGGGGGGGGGGGGGGCTGCTCCTACCTGCGCCCGGTGACGGCTCGGAGCAGCAGCATCGCGGCGGCACCTGGGGACAGAGAGCGGCTGGGGGTCGTGGGGGGCGCACCGAGGGGGCACCCCCGCTCCTCGCCGCACCCCCACCCCACCTCCGGTGTCCCCCCCCCAGCCCCGCTGCGCACCTGCGTAACGGCTCCGGTAGCGCGATCTCCCTCCCGTCTCTGCCTCTTTAAGAGAGGGGCGAGGGGCGTGGCCTCGGCGCAGGGGGACGAGCCCACCGGCTACGCCCCCTCCCGGGCGCAGAGGGGCGCCGTGGGCGTGGCCAAGCCTGCCCAGCGGGAGGGGTCCGCCGGAGGGGGCGGGACTTAAACGGGCAACAGCAGCGGGGGGGCTTAAAGGGGCAACGGCAAATTTAAAGGGCCAGCGCTTGTCACCGGAGGCCCCCAGCCCCACGCCGTTCCCCGCGGGCAACAGGGGTCTGTCCCGTCCCGTCCCTCTCCCCGGGCGAGCGGCAGCCAACACGCGTGGGCCCACGCCCAGCTGGCGGCTCTGATAAGCGTTATCGGGGCAGGGCTGGGGCCCGGGGCAGGAGCCGGAGCCAAGAGCCGGGGACCCAAGTCACCCCCCGCCCCGATCCCTCCCTGAGCACACAGAGCATTTTATTTATTTTTTTTTTCCCTTCCTTTTTTTTTTTTTTTTTTTTTTGTTGTTTGGTTCGGTTTTACTTACATTAAATACATCGGTAAATCAGCGGTTGAGTTCTGTTACCATGATTGTTATTTAAATGTAATGGAGGAGCTTTTTCAAAGCAAAAAAAAAAAAAAAAAGTATCAGAGAAGAAGCAGAAGAATAAGAAAAAAAAAAAAAAAAAAAGGAGAAAAGGAGTGAGAAAAGTTGCAGTGTCCCCATTTGGTCCAGGGTGGGGGGGCAATGGGGTGCCCAGCCCTGCCAGCCCCAACCCCCAGTTAAATACAAGTCACGGATTTGGGGGGCTCCACCAGCACGAGAAGACCCAACCGTGGCTCCCGCTGCAGCACCGACACCACCCGGGGGGAGCAAGACCGTCCCGGGGGGGGCTGCCCCACGCGGGGAGGGGGTTCATCCCCTCCCAGGCTCTGCCCCCGCAGCGGGGGGCTTCATACGAGACAGGTCCCTCCGCCCCATAGCAGTGGGGGGGGGGGGGGTCCCACGCTGACCCCCAAGTCCTGGGGGCTCCCCAGAGCCCCCCTACCCTGCAAGAGGACCCCCCCGGGGCGGCGGGGGGCGGGGGGGGGGCACACCCAGGAAGCCCAGTCCAGGCACTGGGAGCGACAGGATCGGGCCCCGGCTGCAGCGCTGCCCTCTGCAGATGCGCCGTTGCTTCGGGGTGTCCCATATCGGGGTGTCCCATATCGGGGTGTCCCCCTTGTGCTGCGGCATCCTGGCCAGAGGCATCTGCGTGTGTCCCCCCCGTGAGGAGGGGGGGTGTCTGTGGGGGACCCTTCCCCAGCTGCTGGCACCCAGTGACATCCCGACTCTCCCAGCTGAGGGTTTCTCCAGCCCCAAAAGCTCCTTGGGGGAAGCGGAAGCAAAACTAAACCAGCACGGTGCCTCCATTCCCCCCACACACCCCCCGCCACCCCCAGGGGGGCTCGGGCCCAACAGGACTGAAAGGAAAAAAAACCCAAACAAACAACAACAACAACAAACAAAACAAAAGGAAAAAAAAAAAAACCAACCAAAAAAAAAAAAAAAACAACCAAGGTGCATCTTAATGGGACATTTTCACGACTAAAGTGCAAACCAGAGAGCCCTCGCCCGCCACTGGCCCGGGGAGGAACCGCAGAGCAAGAGGAGAAATCGGGGGGGGGGTCGCAGCCGTAACGATGGGCGCAGGGTCACCCGTGGCAGCTCCACGGCAAGCGGGGTCTGGCGGTCACCCCGCTCCCCCCTACAAAAAGCCCCCAGGCACTTCCGATCCTCCAGCAAAAAAGGCCACCTAGGAAGAAATTAAAGGACACTGCAGCCTTCCTCCCCCCCGACAGCCAAACAGAAGAAACAGGAGGGGGGGAAAAAAAAAAAAAAAAAAAAAAAATTGAAAAGAAATCCATGACAGACCCCCTCAGAAAAATCCCGTTTTCCGGAGGTCTCTGGTTCCAGCTGGTTCGCCACAACGTGAACCCCCGGGGCTGATGCTGCCGCCTCCTCGGGCCTCTCCCCACCCCAGCTTGACGGGGAGCGGGGAAGGAGAGATGGTAATGGGAGCCCGGATTTACCAAAGCAGAGAGGGAGGTGGGAGAGGGAGGAAGATGGAGGGAGAAATCAGAATATTAGGTCGCTATTTGCACCTATAATACAAAGTGAAGAAGAGTTTGTTTTCTTGGAAGTTAAGTCCCCGGCTGATCTAGTTCCACTGCCATCGGGATGGTGGTGACGGGTGTCTGGTGGTGGTTTTGAAGCATTAAAAAGTGCAGTTAGAGGGAGCTCTCGGGAGGGTTTTGGTTCAGACGGGTTTCTCGGTGTGCCGTTATGGAGGTGAGGTGTGCTGGACGGGGATGGAGGTTATACCTTAGCTCTTCCTCTCGCGCGGGCGCCGGCCGAGGCCGCCCTTTAGTTGCTACAGCACTGGCTCTTGTTCTGCTGGCTCTGCTCGTGCAGGTCCACGCCTCGGCTCCGGCCCGCTGCGCCGCTCGTGCTCTGGGGCTCGCTCTTTGGCAGCTTCTTGGCTGGAGGGGGAGTGAGAAGAGGGGCAAGACGCTGAGCCCCCATCCTGGCCAAGCGCTTCCCCTCTCCGCGCCCCCTCCCTCCTCGAGCTGCTCTCCCACCGAGCAGCGGCCACCGCAGCCCGGGGCTCACCGGGGGCGGGGGGGGAAGCTGCACCCCAGCAGACACAACCCGCCCCCCCAGAGCCTCACCGATGGCCAAGAAGAGGTCGTTGACATTCATCGCTGTCTTGGCCGACGTTTCCATGAACAATAGGCTGTTGTCATCTGCGTAAGCCTGCGCCTCCTGCAAGAGACGCCGGGTGAGGGTCCGGCAGCTGAAGCCCCGGCACATCGCCCGCGGTGGCACTGGGTGGGGGCCGGGGCTGGGCAGGGGGTGGGGGGGGTCACAGCAGCCCAGCAGAACCTCGTGCCCACACTTACTTCATATTCCACCATGCGTTTGCTGGCCAGGTCGGCCTTGTTGCCCGCGAGGGCGATCACGATGCTGGGGCTGGCTTGTCTCTGCAGCTCCTTCACCCATGTCTTCGCCCGCGCAAACGTTTCCTAGGAGCAGAGGTGGGAACTCGAGGGCGGCCCTGCTGCGAGGCGGGCGTCTTACAGGGACCCCCCCCCCCCCCCGCCACCATGAGCACCCCCGGGGCCGCAGCGGTGACCGTACCTGGTTGGTGATATCGTAAACCACGATGGCGGCTTGTGCCCCCCGGTAATACATGGGGGCCAGGCTGTGGTATCTCTCCTGGCCGGCCGTGTCCCAGATCTCAAACTTTACCGTTGTGTCATCCAGGCAGACGGACTGTGTAAGGAACGCCGCTGTCGGGAGGAAAGACGACATTCGCATCGCCGTCGGCCACCCCCCTGCTGCGGGCAGGTACCCAACGGGCAGCAGGGAATCCCCCCCGCACCCCCAGGAGGGACGCAGAGCTGTGGGGCACCCCAGCCCCAGGACCAGCTGGGTGGAGGAGCCTGTTAGTCACATCCAGCCCAGCTTGCTGAGAAAAAAAAAATAAACCCTAGCTGCTCCAGGCGATCGGCGGATCGGTGACGCCTCCCGCGCTCGCCGAGGCATCACCATGGGATGAGGAGCGGGGACTGCGGCCAGAGCCCGGCTCGCACACGGAGCACCAGCTGCTGAGAGCTTGTGTGCCCAGTCCACATGCTGGGGCCGCAGGGCAAGGGCTGGGGGGTTGTATTTAATGGGAAACCAAACCGGGGCGAGGGGCTGCGGGCGCCCCTCGCCGACTCACCGCCGATGGTGCTCTCCTGGTACTCGTGGAACTGGCCCTTGACGAAGCGCAGCACCAGGCTGGATTTCCCCACTGCCGACTCGCCCAGCAGCACCAGCTTGAACTGACAGATCTTACTGGCTTGGGACTGCCCGTTCGGCCTGGCGGCTCCTCGGCTGGTCATGGCCTGGGTGCTGCTGACGCCGTGCGCCCTGCTAACCGGAGAGCCGGGAAGGCACCGAGGCGTCGGCGTGGGGCAGGGGCTGCGGGCAGGGTGCTGGCCTTCGGTCCGCTCGGCTGTCCTGGAAGGAGGAGAGAGCCCGTCGGTGTGCTGAGCACACACACCACAACGTCCCTGTGTCCCCCCTGGGACCACGGCACATCTGCGGAGACGGGCTCTGCCGAGCCTTAGCGAGACAAAACTCTTCTTGCCTCAAGCTAGAAGACCCCAAGCTGGTGCTGGGGACTTCCCCGGGGTCTCTCCCCAGGCGCCCCGCAGCAGCACGAGGCGCAGACCCGCCGGCCACGGCTCCGCTCCCCCAGCCTGTATTCCGGAGGGATTTCACGGAGCAGCAAATTGGTCGGTAGGAGCTAATCCTCGTGCCAGGCGGGATCCTCGCCGCGGCCGAGGCGGCTGGGAGTGAGTCAGCAGTCCTCCCGGCGAGCAGCCCCCAGGGCCAGGACACACCGCGACACCCGGAGGAGCCGAGGAAGCGGGGAAGGGGCGGCAGGAGCGCGGCCCCAGGCCTGCGCTGCTCTTGTTTATGCGGATGCCACAACAGCTCCGGCTGCCTCCCCGCCAGCCGGCCGGGAGGAGGGGTTGGAAACAAAACTCCCCAGCTCTGCCTTAAAGTTCCTCTGCCCTGGTTTGGTTTGGGTCTTTTTTTATTGTGGCTTTTTTTTTTTTTTTTTAATCCCTGTTTTCACTTTGCTTTCCACACTGGAGATGAGCAGCAGGCGTCTGCTTGGGCTGGGGGGTGCCTGCATCTCCCCACCCCCAGGAAAAAGGCTCAGGTCCCTGCTGGGGGGGGGGGCTGCCCGCTCCAATCCCGGCGGCAGCGGGATCAAGCACAGCGCCCAGAACGATGCAGCTCCTCGAACCCCCTCGGGGTGGGCGCTGGGAGGGGGCACTCAGATAAGAGACCAAACCCGAGGGTCACTGGGCAGCTGGAGTTTCGACTTCTGCGGTTCACACGCCCGGAGAAAGTGGGAGAAAGCGGGATTTGTGTTTTCCTTCAGCAGCTAATCTCACCCTCCCTTGTTAACGCGCCAGTCCCAAGGTTGCGGAGCCGCAGCAGAGATTTATCTGCGCTGGTGGGGCCAGGCGGGCAACGGGACGAGGATGGCAGAGACCAGAACCAACGAGTGGAAAGTTGTTTGTTGCCAGTTCCCCTTCCCCATCTGTCTGAAGACGTAAGCAAGGCTCAGGCCAGACAAGCCCAGCAGGAAACGCTCACTAACCACAGCACTCGTGTGGCACGGACCCCAGCCCAGCCAGCCTGGACTCCTCCGGGGATGGGGGATCACTCTTGCCCCCCACCGAGGCATTGCACAGCCCGGGGAACACAAATTCATCAGCACGGTGCTCTCCCGGGCACAGGGATGGTGCTTCCCTCCTCCAGCACCACATGGAAGGGGAACAGCCACAGCCTCAGCAGCTTGGCATGACGCACCGGGAAGCGGCCGGTGCAGCCCCGGCTGCCAGACTCCTGCCAATTCTCTTTGTTTTGATCCAGAAAGGCATCGGGGAGCTCTCACAGGATGAGGCCAGGCATGGATGAAGTTCAGGATTGCTCCAGCCAAGCGTTACTGTCACAAGCTTAGAGGCAGGGCTGAAGATTTTACAAGTATTTTAACTGTTCTGAGCAGAAACCCCCATCCTGGCAGCGACGCAGCCCACGGTGCAGCTGGGGCAGAGCAGGACCTGCTCCGCAGCAGCGCGGGGACACGATGATCATTTCAGCTCCCTCAAACCCCGCAGCACAAGGTGAAGCCTCCCCACATCTCACCGGGCTCGGTGCTCCCCGCCTGCCCATGCCGGGGGGCTGCAGAGGGACCCTCTCACCGTCGGCAGCTCAGCTCAGCCCTCCGCTCCCCCTGCCAGCTCGGCCAGCTCCTTCCCCTGCAAATATCACCAAGCTCCGAAGCAATCGCTGCTGGAATCTGCTCCGGGAGCAGACCCACCTCACCCTCTCCCGCTCTGCTCTCCCTCTACTCCTCCAGCTCAGCCCGGCGCTGCCGGGGCCGGTCCCTGCCACAGCACAGGCGCGACGGCCGTGGTCCCAAGCCGGCCCCAGCAAACCCTGGCTCCCTCCTTCCTCGCAGCCACTGCCCTGCCAAAAGCTGCTCTCGTCACCCCGCTGCGCTGAGCCCCAGGGCTATTCTGGCAGCAGCCGGGGCTCCTCACGGGTCCAGAGAGACCCAGCCCCGCAACAAGAGGCGGCAGCTCAACGCCGTGGGGACTCGGCACCACAGCGCTGTTAGACCTTCACCACCCGCTCGTCGGGGATTTACGACGCCACGTTGCCTCGAGCACCCAGAAGAGATTCTGTGCTTGTTTGTAAGGGAGGAGCTGCCAGGCCCCCGCAGCCATGGGGCTCCAGTGTGGAGCAGGACAGTCCCAGCACAGGGACTTCAGCGGGTGCCCAGCCTCACGCTGCACCTCTCCACCAGCAGCCGCTTGGCGCAAACCCCCACGTCCCCTTTTCTGGGACTTCTTTGTGGCCTGTGGATCCTGGCTGTCTGCGGACCCCCAGCCCCCGGTGTCGCATGGGTCTCCTCCTCGGGACAGCGAGATGGGAGCTGCCCCCTCAGCCCCGCTCTGGACAAAGCCATCAGCTGCTGGGAGCACTCTGGGGGTTGTTGGAGAAGCGGCTCCATCCTTGTCCCCCCCTTGCTCAGCAGGACACCAAGGCACCACCCGGGCACGGTCGGCCCTGGAAGGAGCCGCTCCAGGACATGCACGCTGGAAGCACAGGGGCCGTGAAATCCCACCTGCACCAGGGACCACAGAGGATGAAATCACCCAAATCCAGCTTCCCTCGGACAAACCTGAGCTTCAGGAGATCCGGAGAAGCCCACGACAACCGGATATTCCCACTAAAACACCACGGCGCCAGGTGAAAGTTGACTATACGCCGATCTATAGAAGTCTGCAGCTATTTCTGGCTCGCGTTCGTGTCACCAGCAATTACTGTCAGCTGCTGGCTGAGTGAGATTTACGGCACGGCACAGCGAGCACCCACAACCACGAGCAGGGCTGAACCTGCCGGGATGAACCTACTCCTGCTCTGCTGCGGCGGCAGAGCCTCTCCCCGGCTGAGGGCTGCAACCGGTGCCTGACGAGGCCCAGGGAGTCTGAGGCCACCTGGCGCCATCTCCCCCAAATCACCCTTCCCAAACGGGACCCCAAATGCTCCCGCAGCCCCCTGGGACGTGGCGTTTGGCGGCAGCATCTCACCCGCCCGCCTGCGCTGCGCCGGCTGAACCAGGAGCCGGGGGCATCCTTCGCAGGGGAGGGTTGCAACAGCCCGTCTGGGCTAACTGCTTTCCTGTTGCCAGCGCTACTTTTCCTATGTCCCAATCGCACTCGAGCAATCACCCAGAGGCGCGCGGGGGTTCGGCCTGCCGCCGATTTGCCCATCCAGTGCCGGGGGGTCTCCCGGTTATGGGGGGGGGGTTCCCGGTTCCTTTGCAGCACAGACAGGCAGCTCGTGCAGGGGGAGCTCCGGCTCGCCAAGCAAAGCGGAGCTGGTCCGCGCCAACAAGCATCCTACAAACTCATCCCATGGCTCTCGCTGCTCGGCGTCCTCCCTTCGTGAAGCAGTGAGATCTCGCGGCTCAGCCGTCTCAGGGACGTGGTGGTGCCGGTGAGCTGCTGTGGAGGACGGGTGGAGAGCCAGCTCTCCCCAGGCCGCGCGGGACGCCAAGCCTGCCGGTTACCGCAGCCGTGCGCCGGCCGGCTCGCAGCCCTGGCTGAGGGACGGGCACCGTCCCCCCCCCCACACTTCACCCTCTCGCTCAAGGCCACCCCGGCCAAGTTGGCCCCCCCACCCCAGAGGGACCCAGGCCCCGCTCCCCGCAGGTGCCCGGCACAAACAGCCGGCTCTGCGCCGAATCCGGGGACCCGGCACCTGCAGCTGGAGCGGGGGGACGGTGGCTGATGCTGCCGCAAGAGATTGGGACGGGGGGGGGGGGCCCTTTTTGAGAATGGGGAGCCCTTTTGCGGGGGGGAGGGCCCTCTTTGGGGAGATGGGGAGCCCTTCTGGGAAGGGGGGAGCCGTTTTTGGGGGAGTCGGTTTTGGGGAAGGGGGAGCCCTTTTGCGGGGGGGAGGGCCCTCTCTGAGGAGATGAGGAGCCCTTCTGGTAAGGGGGGAGCCGTTTTTGGGGGAGTCGGTTTTGGGGAAGGGGGAGACCTTCTGGGGTGGGGGGAGCCGCTGTTGAGTGAAAGGGAACCGTTTTGGGGGAGGGGGAGCCCTTTTTGGGGAAGGGGAGCCCTCTTTGGGGGAGGAGGGAGCCCTTTTTGGGGGGAGGAGGAGCCATTTTGGGGTAAGGGGAGCTCGTTTTGGGGAGGGGGAGCGGCGGCTCGGCGCGGAGGTCCCGACCCGGGCAGAGGCGCGACCCGCCCGGAGCCGCGGGAGAGGGGCAGCCCCGGGGGGAGGGGTGGGGACACACCGGGGCCTCTCCCGGAGCCCCGCGGGCCCGCACCGGGGAACGGCAGCACGAGCCGCAGCCCCGGGGGCGCTTCGGGCGCCGAGACCCCCGAGACCGGCCCGCGCCTCCCCCCCGCCCCCCGCACGGTGACCGACCCCCCCCCCCCCCGCCCCGGTACCTCGGCGCCCGTCGCGGCCCCCGAGCGCACAAACAGCGGCTCAACCAAACCCTCCTGGCGCGGGGCGTGGCGAAGAGGTGGCTCCGCCAATCGGCGACGAGCAGCTGGGCGGCGGGCACGCCTCTTCCTCTCGGTTGGGCCAATGGAAGAAGGAGGGGAGAGCGTCACCGCACCGCCCCGCGGAGGGAAACCAATTGGTGGCGGCGAGAGGGCGGATGGGCAGCAGTCCGGCCAATCGGGACGAGGAGAGAGGGCAGCCAATGGTCGAGGGGAACGTCACGGGAGAGGCGGGGCTCGCAGTGAATGACGGGGAGCAAGGCCAACGGGAGGGGACACTGCGCGAGGGGGCGGCACCAGCCGCAAATAAGGTGACCCGAGGGGGTGGTGCCCCGCAGCCGTACGGACCAATCGGAACGCGGGAAGCCGCCGCGCCGCCCAACCACAGGGCAGAGTGGGCCCGATCCAGCCAACCCGAAGCCAGCGGCTCGGTGAGTGACGCGAGCACAGGGCGGTGCCTCGCGGCCAATCACAGGAGGCGCTCCCCATGATTGACAGCCCGCTGGGTCGCTGGGAGCCGCGACCTCCAACCCCTCCGCTCGTCCGAGCGCAGTAGCGCCCCCGCGCGGGGGGGCGGAGCCCGACCCGGCCAATAGCGGCGCTCCAGAGCGCAGGTGGGCGTGGCCAGGCGAAGGGCGCGGCGGCAGGAGGCGTGGCTTTGACGGTGGTGGGCGGGGCCAAGGTCCCGGGAGGGACAGAGCGGCTCCACCGGGCGGGGCGGGGGGGCCCATATAGAGCAGTGGTGGCACCTATAGGGGCTGTAGGGTGCCAGAGCCCCGGGGGGGGCCGGGCAGCCCCTGGCACAGGGTGGGGGGGCCCCGGGCACGCTTTAGAATGGGGTGGAGGGGACCGATGGGAGAGGCCCCGGGGGGTGATGGGGACACACAGGCTGACCGTGACACGTTGTTGTCGTTGTTCCCCCCCCCCCCCCCCCCCCCCCAACCCGCGCAGGCGCCACACACGGAATTTGACATTTGGTACGAAATTGCAGAAGTTACAAAAATCAGCGAGTCAACTGCAGGGAGGGGGGGCCAGTGGGGACCAAACGAGGCAATTGGGGGGGGGGGGCAGGGGGTCTTCAGGGGGACACACTCAGCTGAGGAGCCCCCATCACACACCCCCCCCCGGGGCAAAGCTGCCTTCCAGGGGAGGTACGGCCCCCCCCCAGGCAGTGCTGTCCCAGTCCTGTGCTGAGGAGGAGGATGGGGGGTATGAAGGTGCTCACTACCCCCCCCCCCCCCAGGCTGGTTCCAGGGTGCCCCCAGGGGGGCTGTAAGTGCCAAAAGTCCAGGCAAGTTGGGGGGGGAGGGGGCGCCTCTTGCTGTGTTGGGGAGCAGAGCAGGATGCAGGACAGGGACCTGTCCTGAGGGGGGGGGCCAGCTCCGCTCCGAGGGGGCCCCAGCAGCCCCGGGGTGGGGGGGCCCAGAGCCACTGTGTCCCCAGGGACAGACATCACCTCTTGCAGCATGGAGACGGGGGCTCCTTTCCGGGGGGGGGGGGGCACAGGAGGCAGAGCACCCCCCCCTCCCGGACCCGCATGGGGCTGCAGCCGATCCCCTGTCCTGTGAGCGTAGGCGGGGGCGGGGGGGGGGGGGGTCACAGCCGCAAATGGGGGACAGCCCTGGTGACATCGCGGAAGAAGGGGTGACCCAGTGCCGCCTTGGCCGAGATCCGCTTGTTGGGGTCATAATGCAGCATTTGCTGGGGGAGGAGAGAGGGGGGGTGTGTGTCAGTGAGGGGGGTGGGGGGTACCCCCATTGCCCCCCACCCTGCGACCCCCCCCTGCTCACTGCCAGAAGCTTCCGTCCCTCCTCATCCAAGGGCGGCACCACTTTGCCGAAATCCTGCCGGGCCCACTTGGGGAAGCTGGGCTTGTAGTCAGGCATGGCGGTGACGCCGGGCCAGGCCGCCTCGTCTGGCGTCCCCAGCGTGCGGAAGATGCGGAAGAGCTGGTCGATCTCCGAGTCCCCGGGGAAAAGAGCACGCCGGGTGATCTGGGTATGAAGTTGGGGGGGGGGGGGGGGGGAAAGGACCCCCTCCCAGGGTGAGCCACACACCCCCAGTGTGCCCCATGATGGGGAAAAGGGGAGGGGGGTCCTGCCCCTTTCCACACCAAAGCTTTGGCAGACAGAGTTGTGTGTGTCCCCCCCCCCGGAGCGGGGAGACACGCAGCCCCCCCACCCCGTGAGCTTCACGCCAGCCCCTCGTGACCGTCCCCGCGGCGGGAGCGGGTCCCGGTTTCCCCGGGGCGCTGCGGCCGGCCGCGTGACGCGGACCCCAGGGAGCAGGGGCGGAGGGGGGGGTGTTTCACATGACACCCAGCCAGCGCAAGGCCCCCCCCCCCCCAAACCACAGCACCCACAAAGCCCCTTTATTCCCCGGGTGCTGCGGCGCGTGTCAGCCCTGCGCCCCGGGGAACTGCGGCGTCACCCGGACGGGACCGACAGAACCCGCCCGGAGATCTGCGCACACCCCGATGCGTGGGGACCTCGATGTCACCCCGGGGGGGGGGGGACGGGGACACCGGGCACCCCCTTGTCACCCACCATCTCCGCGAAGATGCACCCCAAGCTCCAGATGTCGACGGCGGTCGAGTAGTACTTGCAGCCCAGCAGGATCTCAGGGGCTCGGTACCAGAGGGTCACCACCTGCCACGGCGGGGGACACGCACCCATGATGAGCACCGTGTCCCCCGCAAAACACCCCCAGCAACACGCTCCCCCTCCACACCCACCCACCCACCCACCTCGTGGGTGTAGGTGCGCACGGGCACCCCGAAGGCGCGAGCCAGGCCGAAATCGGCCAGTTTGATGGCGCCGTCGGCATTGATGAGCAGGTTCTGGGGCTTGAGGTCGCGGTGCAGGACGCGGTGCGCGTGGCAGAAGGCCAGGCCCTGCAGCAGCTGGAACAGGTAGCTCTGGGATGGGGACGACGGGACGGACACGACACACACACACACTGAGTGGGGATGTGACCCCCACCACCACCCCCCCACACCCCCCCCACACACCTTGATGAGGGGCAGGGCGATGCCACTGATGGAGGACGAGTCCATGAACTTCTTCAGGTCCTGGTGCAGGAACTCGAACACCAGGTAGAGCTTGTTCTCCGTGTGGATCACGTCCAGCAGCCTGGGGGGGGGGGATGAACCGCCTGGGTCAGTCTGTGGGGCACCCCCCACGGGCACCACCCCTCCGCCTTGGCTGTGGGACGGCTCCCAACAGCGCCCCCCCCCCCCCGCCCCGACCCCAACCAAGCCACCGCCGCGGCTGTGGGGGTCTGCAGAGCCCCCCCCCCCCACACACACACACAAACCTCCCTCCCATCACTCGTGGGGTGCCCCCCCCCCCACTCACTTGACGATGTTGGGGTGGTTGAGCTCCTTGAGCAGGGAGATCTCCCGGATCGCCGTGCTGGGGACGCCCTCGGTCTCCCTGCGGGGACAGGGGGTGAGCCCCGGGCCCCGCCGCCCCCCCCCGCTCCTCGGGGACCCCCCCCCCGGGTCCCAGGGATCCCCTCCCCGCACCCCACTCACGTGTCCAGGCGGATTTTCTTGAGTGCCACCACCTCGCCCGTGACCTTGTTCCGGGCCTTGTACACGACGCCGTAGGTGCCCTCCCCGATCTTCTCCACCTTCTGGAAGTTCTCCATGGGGGGGTCGGGGGGGGATCGGGGGGGGGGGGCCCGGAGGGGGCACGGAATGGGGGGGGCGGTGGGGGGGGGGTGGCACCCCGGGAGGGGAGGAGGGGGATAGGGTGTCCGGGGCGATCCCCGGGGGGGAAGGGGGGGTGTTCCCAGGGGGGGTGTCCCGGGGCGGGGGGGGGGCGGTCCCCGGGGGTCCCTGGGGGGGGGATCCCGGGCGCGCGTGGAACGATCGCAGCCGCCGTTTCCCCCCCGCGCCCAACAATGTTCCGGCGGCCCCGCCCGCACCGCTTCCCGCCTTCCGCTGGCCCCGCCCCCCGCGCCGCCCTATTGGCCAGGCTGGTTGCGACGCGGGCGGGCGGCGCGGGAGATCCCTTAAAGCGACAGGCGTGGGAGGCGGGCACCCGCGCGGGGGGGGGGGGGGGGGGGGGGGGTCGCTCCCGCTGGCGGGTGGGGGGGTGGTCCTGGACGGGGCTTCTCCCGGGGACCCGGCGCCGCGCCGCGCCGCGGGGTGTGGGGAGCGGGCACCGTCACGGGCCCAGAATCAGCCCCACGGACGGGGCCAGGGCGGTGTCGCGGGTGGGGACACACACACACACACACACACACACACACACACACACACACACAGAGGAAAAATCGGGGTCCCCCTGGGTGCGCGGGATGGGGGTCCCCGTGTGATTATAGTATCGAGGACCCCCTATGTGTGTATAGGATTGGGGTCCCCCCGTGTACGTGCAGCACCGGGGTCCCCCTGCACCTGCGGGGGGGGGTCCCAGTCTGTGTGTGTAACTGGGGTCCCCTCTGGGTATGTGAAGCACCGGGGTCCCTCCCCTCATGTGTCTGTACAGGATCGGGGTCCCTCTGCATGGGTGAGGTGGGGGTCCCTGTATCTGTACAGGATCGGGGTCCCCCTGCGTGGGTGGGGGTCCCTGTGTCTGTGCCCCTGAGTGTGCACCCCACCCTGCACAACGGGGTGGCTCAGTGGGTGGCAGGTCCCCGTCCAGTCTCCGGGCCATATCCCGTACATGGGACCAAATCCAAACCGGTGCTGAGAGTGAGGGGCAGCACCCCCCCGTTCCCCTCCCCGAGCTGGGGGGGCTGGTCTCTGTGTCCCCCCAAAAAGGACCCCACGAGTCTCCCATTCACCCGGGGCAGAGCCAGAGCGTGTGACTGGGGTCACCCGGGAGCTGCACACGCATGCACACACGTGTCCCCAGTGAACTAAACTGGGGGGGCCGGGTCCCCCCCCCTTTTTGGGGTGGGACTATGCAAACGAGATCCCCTTCATATCCCCCCGTCCCCTTTGCCTCTGCCCTGGCGGTGCCCGAACGTGGGGGGAGACGAGGACAGTGGGACGATGTGGGTGCACGGGGCGATCACGGTGTTGGGGACCCTCCTGGTCCTGGCTACGGCACAGCGGCGTAAGTGGGGTTGGGGGGTCCTGGCTGGAGGGGGTCCGGGCAGCACCCAGAGCCTGACTTGGGACCATCCCCACCACCCCAGGGATTATGGGGGGAGCAGAACCCCTCTCAAAGCCAAATCATGTGGGGAGCAGGATTAGACCCCACTAATCCCATGGGTGGGGGCTGCTTGGAGGCCACGGGGGGCTCATCGTGGGGTCCCCATCCCTCTGCGGGATGTGGGGGGGACCTACAGCCCTCCAGGAGTGGGGTGGGATGTGGGGGTCCCTATCCCTCTGTGTGGATTCCATAAATCGGGGGGGGAGCCCCCCATCCATCTATGAGCGAGGAGACATGGGGGGGACCTCCCTGCGAGTGGAGGGACACGAGGGGGACCTGCCAGCCCCCTGAGAGTGGGGGGACACGGGGGGGACCCCTCAGCCCTCTGAGAGTGGGGGGCCCTTGAGGGAGACGTGCCCCCGGGGCTGCCAGCGCCGGCTCAGCTGAGAGTCACATGAAAAGGCTTTGGGCAGCGCTCGGCGCCATGTGATGGGCTTTTCCCCACGCGTGGCTTGGCCCGAGCCCGTCACGTGGCGCCCGGGGGGTCCCCAAGGGTCCCTGCACTCGGGGGTACCCCCCTCTCTCCGGATGCCCCGTGTTGGGGGTGGCACTGGGAGCGAGGGCGGGGGGCTTCTCAGTGGGTCAGGGTGGCTGGTGGCCGCCGTCCGTGGGTGCTCCGGGTGCCACACGCACCCCTGGGCCCTTCTCCCGCAGGAGCCGGTGAGCGGAGCCGCGGCCGGGGCCAAGCGTGGAGCGGGCGGCCGGCACCATTCCGGAGCTGGGACTTGGAGCTCTACCGTCCGTGGCAGGAGGGGACACCGCGGCAGCGGGACTGCTGGCGAGGTGGGTGCCAGGGCGGGCGCCGGGGACCCCGCTGGCCCCCGGCACCCATCCCTGATCCGGTGTCCTTGCGCCTGGCAGGCGGCGACGTCACCTTTGACATCAGCAACGACGCTCCCACCATGACGGGCGCCGAGGCCACCTTCTCCATCGCCCTCCGCTTCCCCAGCACCCAGGCGGTGCTGCCCGACGGCCTCGTCGTCTGGAGCCGGAACTGCACCGTCAACGGTCAGCGCCCCCCCACACACACCCCGGCACCCTGACCCCCCCCACCCCGCGCCCCCCTCACCCTCTGCTCCCCACAGGCACCCGCGTCATCCAGGGTGACCCCGTCTTCCCGGAGCAGCTGGCTGAGGGCGCGGACGGCGTCTTCCCCGATGGGCAGCCATTTCCCCCCAGCGCCGGCGGCAAGCGCGGAAAATTCGTCTACGTCTGGTGGACATGGGGTAAGGCCGGCACCGACCCCCGCCGCTGGCGCTCGGGGAGGGGGGGGGGGGGTGGTCCCCGAAATGGTGCCTGACCCCCCCCCTCCACGTGCCGCAGGGCGCTACTGGCAGGTGGTGGACGGTGCCACGTCCCAGCTGACGGTGGGCACGGCGGGGGTGCCCCTGGGCTCCTACACCATGGAGGTGGTCGTCTACCATTACCGCGGCCAGCAGAAGTTCATCCCCATCGGCCGCGCCAGCACCCAGTTCAGCATCACTGGTGGGTGCTGGGGTTGGGGGGGTTGGGGGGGGCTGCCGGTGGGAGCCCGGTGGGGATGGGTGAGCTGACGGTGCCCCGTGTGTGTGTTGTCCCAGACCAAGTGCCCTTCGCGGTGGACGTGGCGCAGGTCCGGGGCGCGGCGGAGGGCGACGGGCGCTTCGTGCGTAACCGCGCCGTGGCCTTCACCGTGCGGCTGCACGACCCCAGCCGCTACCTGCGCGACGCCGACATCTCCTACTCCTGGGACTTCGGGGACCAGAGCGGGACCCTCATCTCCCGCAGTGCCACCGTCACCCACACCTACCTGGAGGCCGGGTCCTTCGCCGCCCGCCTGGTGCTGCAAGCCGCCATCCCCCTCAGCCCCTGCGGCACCTCCGCAGCCCCCGTCGTGGACCCCACCACCGGGCCACCGCCGTCGGCGGGACCCACGGCCACGCAGCCCGCTGGCACCACGCCGAGGGGGCAGAGCACCGCCGCGGCACCCACCGCTGGTAAGGGAGCGTGGAGAGGCACCCCCTGCCCCGTGGGTGCCTGGGGGGTCCCAGGGGTGGCCCCTGCCAGGGGTGCACCCCCCCATCCCTGCTCTGCCCGCAGTGCCTGCAGCATCCAGCTCGCCGGCAGAGCCCACAGGGGGGTCGGTGGCCGTGCCCTCGGACCCCGCCGTCACCGTGTCCTCGGACCCCGCAGTCACCGTGTCCTTGGACCCCGCCGTCACCGCCCCCGTGCTCCTGGCACTCAGCACCCCGGCAGATGCTGCCAACGGAACCACGGGCACTGACCCTGCTGCCGCGGCACCCACGGACCCCCCGCTCCCCACCTCGGTGGCCCCGGCCGGGGACGTACTGGGCGCCTCGGCCCCTGCAGCCACAGAGGGAGCGGCGGTGGCTGCAGGTGGGCGCTGTCCCCGGGGGGCAGGGGGTGATGGGCCATGTTTGGGGGGGGTCCCCAAGGGCTCGGTTTCCCCCTTGCCCTTCACCAGCCTCTTCCCTGCCTCCTCCTGCAGATGCGGCAACAGCTGGAGCCGTGGAGGATGCCACAGCTGGAGCCACAGCTGCACCTACAGCTGGAGTCACAGCCGGAGCCACGGCCGAATCCCTGGTTGAAGCCACAGCTGGGGCAACCGTAGAAGCCATGGCTGTATCCCTCGCTGCTGCCACAGCTGGAGTCACAGCTGGAGCTGCAGCTGCCCCTGCCAGCTCCGCCGAGCCACTGGTGCTGGTGAAGCGCCAGGCGCCGGTGGCCAAGGTCACCGGCTGCATCCTGTACCGCTACGGCACCTTCTCCACCCAGCTCGACATCGTCCGTGAGTGCCGGACCCTGAGGGGGGGTGGGCTGGGGGCTGGGGTGGGGACACCAAGCCCGCTCTGACACCGCGTCCCGTTGCAGAGGGGATCGAGAGCGTGGCCATCGTGCAGGTGGTGCCGGTGGTGCCGGAGAGCAGCGAGAGCAGCGTGGAGCTGACGGTGACCTGCGAGGGGAGGTGAGGGTGGCCGGGAGAACCGGCGGGCGCCCCAGGAGTGGGGGTGTCCACAGCCATCTGATACCCCCCCCCCCCCCCCCCCCCAAATCTGCCCCCAGCCTGCCCGAGGAGGTGTGCACGGTGGTGGCGGACGCCGAGTGCCGGACGGCGCAGACGCAGACGTGCTCGGCCGTGGCACCGGCCCCCGGGTGCCAACTCGTCCTGCGCCAGGACTTCAACCAGTCCGGCCTTTATTGCCTCAACGTCTCCCTGGCCAACGGCAACAGCCTGGCCGTGGCCAGCACCCGCGTCGCCGTCGGAGGTGGGAGTGGGGCTGGAGTGGTGGTGGGGTCTTGGGGGGGGGGTGGGGTGGGTGCCCCCGTGGGTGCTGAGCTGCCTCTGCCCGCAGGCGCTGCCCCGGCTGCCAGCAGGACCACGCTCTTCGTGGGACTGGCGCTGGTCGCCGCTGCGCTGGGAACCGCTGCCTACACCTACAGGTCAGACTGGGGGGGCTGGGGGGAGGCACCGTGGGGTGGGCTGGGGGGGTCCGACCCACCGACACTCACCCCTCTGGCTGCGTCTCTGCCCCACAGGCGTGTGAAGTACAGCCGGCTGCTGGCCGCGGCCCCCCCGGCCCCCCGCCCCTGGTTGCCCCCCAGCTCTGCCCTCCGTCTCCTGCTGCATCAGGCTTTCGGGGGGGCCCCCAGCAGCGAGAGCAGCCCCCTGCTCCGTGCCAACACCGTCTAGGGACCCTCCCCCCGCCCCCCCCCCCCAGCTCTGCGCCACCCCCCCCTGCCTGGCCCGAGCCCCCAGGAACCAGGGGGGGGGCTGCGGGTGGTGAAGGGGGGGGTCGTGTGGCCCCGGCCTTGCCGTCACCAAGATTAAAGGTTCAGCTCAGCCGGGGCCTCCGCCTGGTTGTGTGTCTTGGGGGGGGGGGTTGTGGGGCCAGGGCACCCGCGTCTCACTGAGGGGGGGGGGGGCTGAGCCCGCTGCCCCCACCATTGGCACAGCCAGTGCCTGTCTCACCACCAGCTTTATTACTGCAAGAGGCACTTGAAATTGAGGGGAGGGAGGATAATAAATAGGGTGGGGGGGGCTCCAGCCACTGTGGCACACACAGGGGGGGCCGCACGCAGCCCCCCACCACCCTGGCATGACACCCGTGGGCTCCAAGCACCCCTGGGTGCAGGGGAGGGGGGCACAGCTGCCACCTACCCCTGCTGGGGACACACGCGTGAGGGGGGTTTGGTCCTTGTCCCCTGCCTGGGCACAGTTTGGGGGGGGTTCTTCCCCCCCTCCCGGGCCCCTCAGGACTCGGGGGGCCCCTTCTTGAGGCCGAAGAAGCTGGAGGAGCGGGGCGGCGCGGCCATGAGCATCGGCATCTGATTCTTGTGGGTGATCTTGATCTGCAAGAGAGAGGCTGGGGCAGTGGGGGCCGGGGAGGGGGGGGGGGCCCAGCCCCTGGGGGGCGGTCCTGAGGTGCTCAGCGAGGGCAGGGGGGGTCCACGTACCGTGCAGGGCGGCTGCATCCAGGGCTCCCCATCGATCTGCATGGGCAGGGGCTTCAGCGTCCTGCAAAAAAAAAACAACAACCCCCCCCTCCCCAGCTCAATCGCTGCCACAGCCTGACCCCCCCTCCTCCCCAGACACACCCCCCCCCCCCCCAAGCCCCCTCTGCTCACCGCAGGGTGATCTCGGAGCAGGTCGCCAGCCGCTTGCCCGCGCTCTTCAGCCCCGTGTAGATCTGCCCCATCTCCAGGACCCCCTCCAGCCCCACCACCTCCAGCCGCCGGTCGCTCAGGTCTGGGGGGGTGGAGGCAGGGATTTGAGGGTTCAAGGTGGTGCTGAGGAAGGGAAGGGGGGGGGGAACCCCGTGCTGCTCAACGCACCCTGCACGCAGGTCTTGAGGGTCTCGGCGTCGGTGATGGCTGGGGGGGGCCCAGCCCCCGGGGGTCTCCTCGCCTCCCCCAGCGCCCGCTTGGTCTCACCCCAAAGGTTGGAGCCTCCATGCATGCTGGGGATGTTCAGCACCGCCAGACCCTCCAGGGCCCCGCTCAGGTCCAGGGGGGTCCCACAGCACTTGGAGGGGACACACACACACACACACATGTCAAGGCGGGGGGGCAGGCCCCCACCCCACCCCAGGATTGGGGACCCCTCACCTCCACGCTCAGACACTCCTTGAGCTTCTTGCAGGTGGCGAAGATGCTCTCGGAGGTGGCGAACTCGAGGTACCACAGCTTGTTCTTCATCCTGGGGGGGGGACACACAGGCATGGGGTGGGGAGGGGGTCCAGGCGGAGGACACACACATGGGGGGACACTGCGGGGACAGCTCTGTGTATGTGTCCCACCTGCTGTTGAACTTCTCCGGGTACTTCTCCCGCATGACGTGGAAGCGGTGGGCGATGGAGGCATCCTGGGGGCGAGGGGGTGGCGGGGATGAGGTCCTGGGGTTGGGGGGGTGACGTGCCACGCCCCCCACCCCCCCCTCGCCACCGCCTCCCCTCGCCCCACGCACCACCCCGATGGAGAAATAGTTGTTGATGATCTCGTAGGGCACCGGGTCCCCCGCGGCTGCCGGGTCCTCGGGCAGCACCTCCAGCCGCCACCGGTCCATCTGCACCAGGCTGCCGCCCTCCATCTCCCGCAGGATCTTCACCAGGTCCTCCCCCGTGTACCCTGCCACGGCGGGGGGGAGGGGGGGGGCCGTGGGATTGGGGGGAGGGGCCCTGGGGGGGGTGTGTGTGCCCCCCCCCACCCCAACCCCAGCCCCCTCCTGCCCCACTCACCTCCCCCCCAGCGCAGGCAGCGGGCCAGGTCGTTGCCGGTCCCCAGCGGCAGCACGGCCACGGGGGGCTGGTGGGGCAGGTTGGCTTTATCTGCAAGGAAAGGGGGGGGTCAGGGGGGGGTCTGGGGGGGTCTGGAGGGGTCAGGGGTGGTGGGGGGGGCAGCAGCCACCAATGGCATCCAGGATCCAGCCCACGGTGCCGTCGCCGCCACACACCAAGATCCGAAAATCTGGCACGTCCCGGAAGAAATTAAGCCTGGGAGGGAGGAGGTGGGGGGGGGGAAGGGGCGGGGGGTCAGGGCAGGGCTGGGCGCACCCCCCCCACCGCCTCCATGGGCACCTCAGAGCCCCCCCCCCCCCCGCCCTGCTCACCCGGGGGTGGGTCCTCCCTGCTGCAGGTTATAAACCTGCCGGGGGTTGAGCAGATACTGGAACTTCCGCAGCACCCTGGGGGGAGAGGAGAGCTGGGGGGGGGGCTGGGGGGGGCCGGGTGGTTGCCCCCCACCCCCCCCTTCAGAATGAGCCTCCTCGGTAGCCCCAGGCCCACCCACCCCCCCCCCTTACCTCTCCCCCTGCTTCCCTCCGCTCTTGGGGTTGACGAAGACGAGGAGCGGGTGGGTGTCGGGCATGGGGCTGACCTGCGGGGTGGGGGGGGGGGGTGAGGGCTGCGCCCTGGTCTTTGGGGATGGGGTGGGGGGGACAGGGACGGCAGGACACACACACACACACACACACACACACAGGGGGGTACACAAACACACACACTCACCCGCAGCGCCTGCCCCTCGGGGGTGGTGAAGACCTGCGGCATCTCCTCTGCCGGCGTCCCGCCGCCATCCCGCTGGCTGTCCTGCCTCTCCTGCAAGCACCCCCCCACCCCGGCTCAGGGCGGGGGGGCCTGGTGGGTGCCCCCTCAGGGTGGGGGGGGCCCCATCAGCACCCTGGGGAGCCCTCCCCCCCCACCTCCCCAGGGCCCCCACTCACCAGCAGGACGGGGTAGATGGCAGCGGGGGGCAGGATGTGGTCCCGCAGGACCCCGCAGTCGCAGGCGGGGGGCACGAGGGGCAGGCACTCCTCGTGGATCTGGGGGGGGCAGTGCGGAGTGAAGTTGGGGGGGGAAGTTTTGGGGGTGGGGTCGGGGGGCTCCCCCCACCGGGGTGCACCCACCTTCAGGTGGCACCAGACGCAGTGCAGCCCCGTCAGGCTCTGGAAGCTCTTGATCTTCTTCTGGCACGTCCCGCACTTGCCAGCCTCGCAGCCGCCCTTCACCCAGACATGGGCCTGGACCTGCGCATGGGCCCCCCCCCACCACGTCACCCACGGCCCCCCCTGTGTCACCCACAGCCCCCCCCACGGCACCCCACACACCCCCCCATGGCTCCCCTGTGTCACCCCCGTGGCACCCACGGCCCCACCGTGTCATCCATGGCCCCCCCCATGGCACCCCACAGACCCCCCCCGACCCCCCGCGTCACCCCCCCACGTCACCCCCATGATGGGGGGAACTGGGGGGTGCTCGAAAACTGGGAGGGGTGGGGTGGGGTGTCCAGCATGGGGTGGGTGGACAGAGGGACAAATACACAGAGAGGCGGGGGCACGACTTGACGGGGGAGCAGACGGATGGACAGACGGACACACGGAGAGATGGATGGGCGGACGGACAGGCGGACACGTTGGAAAGACGGACGGACAGCCGGGCGGACAGACGGCTGGGTGGGCGGGCAGACGGGTGGACGGACACATGGAGAGACGGACAGACGGGTGGGAGGGCAGGCACGTCGGAGAGATGAGCGGACAGCTGGGCGGACAGCCAGACGGACGGACACACGGACAGGCGGACGGACACCCCGCCACTCACCCCGGCCTCGCGGCGGGATTTGGCGTACGTGCTGACGCAGCTGGGGGGCGCGCGGCGCGCGCAGCGCTCGTGCACCGTGAACCTGCACACTGGGGGGGGGGGGGGGCGGGGCGTGAAATGGAGGCGGGGCCTCACACACAGACACACACCCACCCCCCCCGCCACGCCCAGCCCTTCAGCCAATGGGAGCCCACGGCCTCGGCTCGCCGGTTGGCTCGGAGGCGGTGGGTGGAGCTTACGGGCAGGCCACGCCCGTACACGGGGCGGGGCTTCCCCGGCGCTGGTGGGGGTGGAGCGTCCGGCCCGACCCCGCCCTGTCCCCCGGTCCCATCCCTGTCCCCATCCCCGTCCCCATCCCACCCCCATTCTCACCCCGCCCCATCCCCATCCCGTCCCTGTCCCACCGTCCCCACCATCCCCGTCCCCACCACTGCCCTGTCCCACCCCATCCTGTCCCCGTCCTGTCCCATCCCGTCTCTGTCCCAACCCCATCCCTGTCCTGCTCTCCCCACTGTCCCTGTCCCCAGCGTGTCCCCAGCATCCCCCCGGTGTCTCCCCAGCATGTCCCCAGTATCCCCTCAGCATCCCCCCAGCATGCCCCCAGTGTCCCCCCCAGCACGTCCCCCCAGTATCCCCCCAGCATGTCCCTTCTGTCCCTCCAGTGTCCCCTCAGTGTCCCCCCAGCACGTCCCCAGTGTCCCCCCACCATGTCCCCAGTGTCCCACCCGCTGTCCCCCCGCTGTCCCCCAGTATATCCCCAGTGTCCCCCCACCATGTCCCCAGTGTCCCACTCGCTGTCCCTCCCAGTGTGTCCACAGTGTCCCACCCACTGTCCCCCAGAATGTCCTCAGTGTCCCCCCAGCATGTCCTCAGTGTCCCCCCAGCATGTCCCCAGTGTCCCACCCACTGTCCCCCCAGTGTCCTCCCTGCTGTCCCCCCCAGTATGTCTCCGCTGTCCCCCCCTCCCCCCAGTATCCCCCCAACATGTCCCTTCTGTCCCTCCACTGTCTCCTCAGTGTCCCCCCACCATGTCCCCAGTGTCCCAGCCGCTGTCCCCCCATATATCCCCAGTGTCCCCCCACCATGTCCCCAGTGTCCCACTCGCTGTCCCCCCCAGCATGTCCCCAGTGTCCCACCCACTGTCCCCCCAGTATGTCCCCAGTGTCCCCCCAACCATGTCCCCAGTGTCCCACCCGCTGTCCCCCTGCTGTCCCCCCAGTATGTCCCCAGTGTCCCACCCGCTGTCCCTCCACTGTCCCCCAGTATGTCCCCAGTGTCCCCCCACCACGTCCCCACTGTCCCCCCGCTGTCCTCCCCACAGTGTGCCCCCCCCCCTCACCGGTGCAGCATAGCCCCTGCTTGCGCAGCCCCACCAGCAGCGTCTCGCACACGTTGCAGTACACGGGCCGGTTGAAGTGCTTCAGGCGCCACATGTGCTGCCCATCATCCTTCATGTGCTAAGGGGGACACACACACACACACGGGGTCAAGGGGGGCCCCCACCCCTCGCCCCCCCCCGGCAGCACCCCCACACTCACCCCCTCCAGCCCCAGCAGCACCAGCAGCGGGATGTTGGTGACCCCCCCACGCAGCCACTCGGCCAGCGACACCGTCCCGCTGCCATCGTAGTCGATCTCCCGCATCATCTCCTGCAGGATCTGGGGGTGGGGGGGGACACACGCACACGTGGGGTTTGGGGGGGGTGGGGACAGATGCGGGGCAGGCGGGGGGCAGCCCCCCACCATCCCCATGGCCCCCCCCCCAGCCCCACTCACCGGTTTCAGCTCTGTGACGTCCCAGTCCAGGTACTGGGCCACCCGCATCATCTGGGTGATGATCCGGTCCACCTCCTGGGGGGACAGGGTTAGCGTTGGGGGGGGGGGGAGAGAGTGGCAGTGGGGGGAGACACAGTGTCAGAGGAGGGGGGACAGTGTCAGCGGGGAGACCCCCACAGCCCCCCCAGCACTCACCGAGCTGTCCAGGAGCCCGTTCCCGTCCTTGTCGTACAGCTTGAAAGTGACTGCGGGGGGGGGGGACACACAGCGGGGTGAGGTCACACCAGCAGGTCCCTGAGCCCCCCCCTCCACTCCCCTGCGCCCCCCCAAGAAACACACACCCCCCCCCCCCCTCAACTCACACTCCAGCTTGTCCTCGGGGCGTCCCCCCTCCAGCAGCGAGAAGTAGCAGGAGACGTCATTAATGCAGACGAGGTCGCTGCCTGCAGGGACAGACCCCTGTGAGACCCCCCGGGGTGCCCCTCCCCGGGCCCCCCCCCGGCTCCCCCGACCCCCCCTCACCCGCCTGGCTGCCCAGCGCCGTGGCCCCGCTCTGGAAAGAGGCGAAGAGATGGTGGCAGAGCGGCTCTGGGACATCATCCGCCTCCAGGTAACTCCTCAGGAACAGTGTGAAACCCTCGAAGTCGACGCACTGGGGGGGCACACACAGGTGGGGGGGGGGCAGGGTGAAGCCCCCCCCTCCCCACGGGGCCGGCCCCCCCCCTCACCTCTCCCTGGCGGTGTCGCGACAGGGCCCCGTCGTGATAGAAATCCCGCAGCACGTCCTGCACCTTCCGGCTGCTGTCTGGGGGGAGACAGCGGCGAGGTCGCTCGGGTGCCTGCACACGCGTGTGCCCCCCCCGCCCCACCCCGACACGCATGCACACATGAGGTGGCACGTGTGTGAGGCTGACGGGTCAAGCGTGCACACGCATGTGGTGCAAGGCTGCTCCTGTGCAAGCACACGCGTGCAGAGCTGCCCCCACGTGTGCACACAGACACGTGAGGCTGACCCCACGCATGCACACGCGTGCAGAGCCCTCCCCACACAAGCACACGTGTGCAGAGCCACGCCCAAAACATGCACACTGACTCGCGAGGCTGCCCCCACGCGTGCACACGCGTGCAGAGCCGCCCCCGCATGTGCAGACACGCGAGGCTGACCCCACACACGTACACGCGTGCAGAGCCGCCCCCCACGTGTGCACACAGACACGCAAGGCTGACCCCACGCATGCACACTCGTGCAAAGCCCACCCCACACAAGCACACGTGTGCAAAGCCACGTCCATGCATGCAAAGCCGCCCCCACGCATGCTCACATGTGCAAAGCCGCCTCTCAAACACGCACGCAGACATGCAAAGCCGCCCCCACGCACGCCCCCACGTGTAAAGCCACCCCCGAAGAGAGAATGGGGTGTGTCGTGTCCCCCCCCCCCCTTCCCCCGTGTCTGTGTCCCCCCCACACTCACAGTCCAGGTATTTCTGCAGTTGGGCAAACTCCTGGGGGCTAAGGGTGGCCCAATCTGGGCTCTCCTCCATGGCTGCAGGCGTGGGCTGGGACACGGGACACGAGACACAGGATACAGGACACGGGACACGCCACGGCTCTGCGGCGGGGGGACGGGAAAGGGGGTGCGTTGGGGGCAGACGCCCCCAACGCACCCCCTTTCCCGCCCCCCCCCCCCGCCGCAACGCCCCACTCCCCCTTCCCCCCCCACCCCACACGCCAACGTCACGCGTGTGCGGCCCCGCCGTGGGCTGAGCTTTGAACCGCAGACCGGGAGCAGCGCCCATGGGTGATGGGGGGGGAGGGGGGGGGGGCGCCACACTGGTGCGCGGGGGACTCCCCCCCGCACCCCAATTTTGGGGTGACAATGGCTGGGGGCTGTCTCCTTCCTTACAGGGGTTTAGGGGAGGGATGCTCCCCCCACCCGTGGGGTGAGTCACGGCGGTACCGCGCCCAGCCCGGGGGACACACACACACACACACAGACAGACACACACCGGAACCCCCCCCGCGGTACCGGGGGACACGCAGCCCCCGCGCTCAGGCATCCCCGGTGCCGCTTCCTTCCCCGTTCCCCCCCCCACCGCGCCCCGCCGCAGCCCCCCCTCCCGGTGCCGCCACCCGGTTCCGTACCTGTCGGGTCCCGCGGCGGCTGGGCCCGGCCCGGCCCCGTGACATCACGGCCCGGGGGTGGGGGGGGGCGGGGGCGGCACCGGCCGCACGTGCCGCCGGTCGCGGGGGGGGTGGGGGGACACGACACGACACGACACCCCCCGCCCCCCCCCCCCGACGGCACCTGGGAGCGCTGACCGCTCCTGCGCTGGGGTCCCCCTGCGCGACCCCCCCCCTTGCACACACCCCACACACCCCCCCCCCCCGCCCTTTACACACCCCCTCTTTGCACACCCGCCGCCCGTTTCTCCCCCGTCCCGGGGGACCCCCCCGTAATGCGGCCGGGACACCCCGGGGAGAGGGGGGGGGTGGGCGATGGGGGGGTTGTGTTTGTGTGTGTGCGTGGGGGTGGGGGGGGGGTGGGGGGTAGAGCCGGGATGCGCCCCCCTCCCCCGTGCCTGGAAATCCCCCGCGTCGGCTGCGTGGGCGGGCGGCGGTTGGCGCCTCGTTAATGAAGCTGCTCCCCCCCCCCCCACCCCCCGCGTGGGGTTGGGGTGTCACATCCGCCCCCCCCGGGGTTAGGGGCGGCGGGGGGGAGGGTGGCCGTTGGGTCCTCAACCCGTCTCGGGTGGGGCTGAGCGTGGGAAGAGGGGCTGGGCCCCCCGCCCCGTGTGCGGTTGGGCCCGAGAGCGGCTGTGGGAGCGCGGGGGGGGGGGGTGGGGGGCCCCCACCACATGTCGGGGTACACACACACACGTCGGGGGTGTCCCCATATGTCGCGCGGGGGGGGGGGCACACACACATGGCGTCGGGGACGCGACGCTCGGGTGGCCTCGGCCCCGTTGGGGGGGCTGCGCCCCCGGCACGTGAAGGGGGGACGCCCCTCCCGCTGTCGGGGGGGGGGGGGGCCGGGGCAGCCCCCCCCCCGCCGTATCTCGGGGTGCGATCGGGGTCGGCGGTGGCGGTTTGAGGGTTCCCGTCCCACAGGCGCTCCCGGGTGAGCCTCGCGTGGGGGGGGACACACACACACACGCACAGCCCCGCTGCTCCCCCCAAACGGAGGGACCCCCCCCGCGGGGGAAACACGCAGGCCCTGATCCCAACCCCCCCCCGGCCGGGGTCGGGGTACGGGACCCCTCCCCCCCCGGGTCTGTGTTTGGGGACGCTGCGGTCGCCATGGCGATGCGTCCTGGCTTGGGGGGGTGCAGGCGGGGGGGGCAAGTCACCATGGCAATATCCGCGGGGGGTGGGCTCCCCCGTTATATGTGGGGAGTCTCCCCTTCCCCCTTAACGGGGCGCGGCCCCTTTAAAAACAAAATGGCCGCCCGCTCCGCGTCGGCCGGCCGCGGCCGCACCCGGCCGCTGCCGCCGCCACTTCCGGGGCGGGGCCGAGAGGCCGGAAGTGTGTCGCGCTCGCAAGATGGCGACTCCCTATGTGACTGACGAGACCGGTGAGTGCGGCCCGGCCCGGCGCCGTGGGGCGGGCGGCTTCCGTGGGGGCAGGCCCGCGTCCCTGCCCGGCGGCGGGCGCTCCCTTCCCCCTGCGGCCGTGGGCGCCGTCTGTCCCCCCTTGCCGGGCGCTGCGGGGCTGGGCCCACCTCGTCCCCCCGCCCCCGTGTCTGTGATGTGTCCCGGGCCTCTGTGGGGGTGTCCTGGGGCCCCCATGGGGCTTGTGGGGTGTCCCGGGACCCCGTGGAGTGTCCTTGGACCCCCGTGGGGTCTGTGGAGCTGTCCCGGGCCGCTGTGGGGTGTCGTGGGACCCCCGTGGGGTCTATGGAGTGTCCTGCGTCCCCGTGAGCTGTTTTAGGACCCCCGTGGAGTCTGTGGGAGTGTCGTGGGGCTTCTCTGGGTTGTCCTGGGATGTTATGGGGTCTCGGGGGTGTCCCGGGCCCCTGTAGGGTGTCCTGGGCTCCCGTGGGGTCTGTGGGGGTGTCCTGGGGCCCCGTGGGATTTGTGGGGTGTCCTGATATGTCAGGGGGTCTCTAGGGTGTCCAGAGTCCACTGTGGGGTTCGTTTGGTGTCCTGGGACCCCCGTGGAGTCTGTGAGGGTATCCTGGGGCCTCTGTGGGGCTGTCTCGGGCCCCTGTGGGATCTGTCGGGTGTCCTGGGCCCCCGTGGGGTGCGTGGGCGGCCCTGGGGCTGCCTGCCAATGGTGCCTTGGCCCGGCAGGGAAGTACATCGCCTCCACGCAGCGGCCCGACGGCACGTGGCGGAAGCAGCGGCGGGTAAAGGAGGGCTACGTGCCGCAGGAGGAGGTGCCGGTGTAAGTGGGGTGCAGGGGGGGCCCCGGGGTGGGGGGGAGGGTGCCCCGCTCCCCACCGGGGTCTGCCGGGGCGTCCCCGTCCCCCCGCCCCGCCGCGGGCTGCGCGTGCCGGGTGATGTCTCGAGGTCTCAGTCTCTTTCCAGGTGCCCGAGCAATTCCGACCCCCTCACCCCATACCCCATAAGCCGCGTCCTGCCGGTACGTATCGACTCCCCTCCCCGCTCCCCGGGGCGACCCCGTGGCTCCGGGGGCGCGAGGAGGAACCCCGAGCGCAGGCGGCTGAGGGGGGGGCAGGTCCCGGCCCCCCAAACCCAAAACCCTGGGGCACGGGTTGGGGAGGTGGGGCTGCTCGGCGTCCGAGGGCTCACGGGAGGCACTGAGCGTTGCCAGGGTCTGCGGCACCGTCTGAGAGGCACCTTCACGGGGGTGGTCTTCTTCCGCGCAGGTACGAGAATAAATACGTGAAGTTTTTCAAAAGCAAACCCGAGCTGCCCCCGGGGCTGAGCCCAGAGGCCACCGCGCAGCCCAGCAAGGCGGAGAGCGGCGAGACGGGACTGTCCAAAGCGGCGAAAAGGAACTTGAAACGCAAAGAGAAGAGGAAGCAGCAGCAGGAGAAAGGGGAGCGGGAGACGGACGGACTGATCCAGGCGCTGGAGAAAACCTCGCTGGCGGGGGGCGGCGGCGGGGACAAGGGGCCGCCGGGGGACAGTCGGGCGGCCGCACCGCAGCCGGCCTGCGGCACTGCGGCCCCCGCCGAGGGGGGGGAAGCCCCCGCTGTCGAGAAGAGCAGGAAGATCAAGAACCTGAAGAAGAAGCTGCGGCAGGTGGAGGAGCTGCAGCAGCGGCTCGACTCCGGGGAGATAAAGCAGCCGACGAAAGAGCAGCTGGAGAAGCTGGGCCGGAGGAAAGCGCTGGAGGAGGAACTGCGGGACCTGGAGCTGGACTCGTAAGGGGGGGCGGGGGGTGGGGGGGCTGCGGGAGGGCGGGGGGGGGGGGCACGGGCTGGGGCCGCTGTCGCTCCTGGGGCTGGTTTGGGCGGGGGCTGGTGGTGGGTTTTTATTTCAGAGCGGTTTGTTCCCAGCTATCGGTGTTAGAAACCAGGCAACTCTCCAATACTGCTCTTTTTATTTTATTTTATTTTTTTAAATTTGATTTTGGGCGGGGCCATGCTGCGTCCAGGGCGGGGCAGTGGCCCCCTCCCACCCTCACCCCCCCCCGCTTCTATCAGCCCCGGCCCCTCGTGTTCTGTATTACGGCCCCTCCCTCCCTTTATTTTTAAAAATCATGCAATAATAAAATTGCAGTAGTGACGCGGCGCTGGGAGCTCGGTTCTGCCGATGGGGGGGCTGGGGGCGGGGGGGGGGCCCGGGGGAGGCCCCATGGCAGGGTGAGCCCCCCCCACAGTGGGAGGGGGGGGTTTTAAGGCTTTTGGGGCCCTCCACAGCTGTGGGGGGAGCTGGGCCGGGCCCACGGTGTGTGCACAGCATTTGGGTAGGTCCTGCAAAAATAAAACTGGGGCTTTATTTTTCAGGGGTCCTCTCAGGGGCAGGGAGGTAGGGCTGTGCCCCCCCCCCCCAGCTCTCCCCTCCGAGGGGTTGGGGTGGGGGCAGGTTATGGGGCAGGCGGCAGAGGGGGGCACTGGGTTTGCCCCCCAGCCCCTGAGGGGTCCCCAACACTGAGGTGCTCTGAAGCCCTGCTTCCCCAGGCCACACCCTGGGGGGTGGGCAGGGCATCTGGCATCTCATTTGCCTATTTAAAGAGGCAGGCACAGTGGGAGTGGGGGGCCCTGGCGCCCCCAAGGCACGGCGGTGGGGTGTAGGGGGTGCTCAAGGGGGCGCGGGGGGCGGCGAGGGGTGCGGCGGTGGGGCCCGGCGCGGTCCTGCAGGCTCCGGATGTAGCTCTGGGGGGACACGGGGGTCAGAACCCCCCCGCCACGGGCCCCCCGGGGCGCGCACTCACCGGGGCCAGCGCGTCGCCGGCGTAGCGCCGGGCGGGGGGGGGCTTGCGGCGGTGGGTGCCCTCGGGGGGGGCCAGGCTCCGCCGGCGCTCGGCCTCCTTCTGCCGGACCCGCAGGAGCTGCAGCCGCTTCTGCTGCCGGCTGAGGACGACTGCGGGGAACGGGGGCTGAGCCCCGGTGACGCTGCGGCCCTTCCCTGCCCCACCCCACTCCCATCCCATTTCCATCTCCTCCCAGTCCCCATCTCCATTCCCGTCCCCATCCCGTTCTCATCTTTCCCTGTTCCAATCCCCTTCCCTGTCCCCATCCTGTCCCCGTCTCATCCCCGTCCCTGTCCTCATTCCCACCTCATCTCAGTTCCCATCCCCAGCCCTGTCTGTCCATCCTGTCTCTGACCCCATCCCTGTCCCCATTCCCATCTCATCCCACTCCCCATCCCTGTCTGTCCCCATCCCATTCTCACCTTATCCTGTCCCTATCCCATCCCTGTCCCTATCTCATTCCCATCTCATCCTGCCCCCGTTTCATCCCAGTCTCCATCTCCATCCTTGTCCCCGTCCTGTCCCTGTCTCATTCCCATCTCATCCCAGTCCCCATCCCTATCCCATTCCCATCTTATCCTGTCCCCATCCTGTCTCATCCCCATCCCCGACCCCATTCCCATCTCATCCCACTCCCCATCCCTGTCTGTCCCCATCCCATTCCCATCTCATCCCAGTCCCCATCCCTATCCCATTCCCATCTTATCCTGTCCCCATCCTGTCTCATCCCCATCCCCGACCCCATTCCCATCTCATCCCACTCCCCATCCCTGTCTGTCCCCATCCCAATCCCAGTCCCCATCTCCGTCCCCATTCCCATCTCAGGCAGTTCCCATCCCCATCCCATTCCCATCTTATCCTGTCCCTATCCCTGTCCTGTGTCTGTGCCCATCCCATCCCCCCCCATGCACCATCCCACATCCCTCACCCCCCTCCCCAACCCGCACCCCCTCAGCTCCCCCAGGAAGGGGGTGGGGGTTCCCCTCCGTCCTCCCCCATCGCCCCGGCTCACCGTCGGTGTGGGAGAAGCCGTCGGCCGTCAGCTTCCACTGGAGCAGGACGGCGAGGAGGCTGAGCACCGGCCAGGCGCCCAGCACCGCCCAGCTGTGCCAGCACAGCGGCCCCGCCGGCGCCAGCCGCAGCCGCTCGTAGACGTAGAGCACCAGCGCCAGCGCCTCCACGAAGTAATCGGCGCAAACCACCACCACGGCGGCACCGAACGCGCCGGTGGAGAAGATGGTCAGCGCCTTCGGCCACTGCAGGGCCAGGAGGGCGCAGAGCAGCGCCAGCCCCAGCAGCGTCCCCGCCGGCACCCAGGGGCTGGGAGGCGGCAGCACCGGCGCGGCCACCGCCAGCGCGGCCGTGGCCAGCAGCAGCCCCAGCAGCAGGCCAGTGGTGAAGAGCCCGACGCTGCGCAGCAGCATGGTGACCAGCCCGCAGAGCAGCCCGATGCCCAGGGCGATGCCCGCGCTGGCCTCCAGGCTCAGCTGTGTCTCCAGCACCCGCTCCTTGTAGCACAGGAGGAAGATGATGATGGAGCCCAGGAGCAGCCCCGAGAGGAACATGATGGCCTTGAAGCAGCGGTACCCTGGGGGGGGGGTGGGGGGTGCACAGGGGTGTCAGGGAGGGGGGGGGGGGGGGGGGCTGCCCTGCCTGGGCACCCCACTGTCCCCTGGGACACCCCTCCTGGCCGTGCTCCATGGCTGTGCCCCATGGTGTCCCCAGTGGCATCTCTTATGGCTGTGCCCCACAGCCATGCCCCACAGCTGTCCCCCACGGCATCCCCCATGCCTCCCCCCCCCCCCCCTTTCTGACGATGCCCCACGGCTGTGCCCCACAGTGTCCCCTGTGCTGTCCCTTAGGGCTGTCTCCCCGTGCCCCACGGTCTGCCCCTGTGTCCCCGCTTTCTGACTGTGCCCCCCATCACACCCATCTCCTTGTCCCCCACCATGCAAAGCCCCTCACCGTGTCCTGGCTGCGCCCTCCACGCGTGGGTGTGTGTCCATTCCACACACACCCCACCCCCCTGCAACGCGTGCCCCCCACCCCCCCCCGTGTCGGCGCTCACCGAAGCAGCCGCAGACGAGGCCGAACAGGGCTCCGAGGGCGCAGAGGGCGGCGGGGACGGGCTCGTAGCGGGGCCGGGACTCCAACGCACAGTGGGGCGCGGGGGGGGTGCCGGGCTCCATCGCCCGGGGGCTGGGGGGCTGAGGGGGGCGGCGAGCTGAGCCCCCCGGCCCCGCGCTCCCCGCCCCGGAGAGCACCCACACCCCCCCCCCAAGCACACCCCCCCCCCCCGCACCCACATCTGGCAGCGGCGCCGCGGGGATGGGGGGGGCACATCTGGGGGGAGCTGGGCTTTGGAAGGGGGGGGACTGGTGGCTACGGGGAGGACTGGGCTGGGGGGCGCTGGAAACTGCGGGGAGGGGCGCTGGGAGGGGGAACTGGGAAGTTGTGGGGGGCGGCCGCGCTGGAGGAGGCGGCGGGGGGGGGTCCCTGGCCGGGGGCGCAGCTCGGTCCCCGCCCGCCCCGGGACTCACCCGCTCGCCGCCGGTGCCGGGGGTCGCGGTGGGGCCCGACCCGGCCACGGAGCCGAGACTCGCGGGGGCGGGGCGGGGCGGGGCCGCCGGGGGGTCCCGCGCGGGGCCGCGCCGTGGGGCGGGGGCTGTGGTCGCGGGTGGGCTGCGGGACCCAGACCCGCGTGGGGAAGGGGCTGCGGCGCTGGAGCCCCTTCGGTGGGACACACACACACACACACACACACGCACACACACACACACCCCCGCGTGGGGCCGGGACACGCGTGGGCGGCGCCGAGCGCTGAACGGGACAGAGGCTCTTTGTGCGCGGGGACGCGCGACGGGGTCAGCGCGGGACGCGTGGGCGCTCCGCGGTGAGGGGGGGGGAATGGGGGGGAGGCGGGTGTTAACGGCGAGGGAGGTGCTGCCCCTTTAAGGGGGCGGGGCGCGGGGAAGGGATCACCCCGCCCCCCGGAAGTGGGCGGTGGCGACGGCGGCGGGCGGGCGGAAGGCGGAAGTGAGGCGGGCGAGGGACCCCGGGGGGGGGCGGGAGGCGGCGGTGGCGACCCCCCCCCCCCGCCGGCACCGGCACCGTGAGTCTCCCCCCCACCCCCCTTTTGCTCTCCACCAGCCCCGGGGCAGCCCGCGGCGCCGGAAGGGCTGCGCTTTTGGGGCGAAATCCCCCGAAATCGGTCCCGCGGGCGTCCCCGGGGGGGCGTCCCGCGGGTCCCCGCTGACCCCGCTCGCCCGCCCCAGCGCCCGGCGGGATGGCCGTGACCTAGACCCAACCGGGGCCAGCGGGGCCGCCGCCATGGAGCAGCCCCGGGACCGGGACGCGGCGGCCGAGGGAAGCGACGGCCCCGGCGGGAGCCGCGACAGCCCCGGGGGGACAGCGGGGGACAGCGCGGCCTGGAACGGGACCTGCGGCCGAGCCCCCGGCCCGGAGGAGGACGACGACGACCGCGACCCGGGCCCCGGGGCCCACCCGTGCTCCTGCCGCTACCGGGGGGAACCGGCCGCCCCCCCCAGCCCCGCGGCCGAGCGGCGGGACCGATCCTGCGGCCTGAGCTGCCGCGCCTCGGCGCTGCCCCCCCGGCCGGGGGAGGGCGAGGACGAGGAGGAGGAGGATGGCGCGGGGAAGGGAGGCCGAAGGCTGCGGAGGCGCCCGAGACATCGCTCGACCCTGAAGGAGAAGGAGGAAGGCGGCCGGCGCGAGGGTGGCGCGGGCAAGCGGAACCGGCCGGCGCGGAAGAGGAGCCGCGGGGACGGGACCGAGGGGCCAACTGGCTACCGGGGGCTGCTGGCCCTGGGGGGGCTGCTGGCCCGGGGGCACCCGCTGGCCCGGGGGCTCGCCCGGGCGTGCCGGCTGGGCACCGAGGCCGTGGGGCAGCTGCTCTGCTCCTGCTGCCGCCTCGGCGAGCCGGGCTCGGCGCCGGCCGGTGTGTGGGGCTGGAGCCGGCGAGTGGGCCAGCGGGCCCGCAGCGGGTCCCTGCGGGCAGCCCGGTGGCTGAGAGCCGGGGCTGGGCTCTTCCTCCGCTTGCTCGGGATGCTCGGAGCGCTCCTCCTCCTCCTCCTGGCGCTGGTGCTGAGGCTCTGCGGGCGCCTGGGCAGGAGCCGGCAAGCGGCTCGGCTGTGGGCGCTGCTGGACGTGGCCACGCTCCGCAGGACGTGGGGGCTGCTCGGGGAGAGCCGGCTGTGCCGGCACCTCGGGGACTGGCTGCGGAGGCGGCGGGAGCCCCCCTGGGTGCCCGCGGGGGGTGGGCCGGGGGACACGACGCCCGTCCGCGACGCCGGGGCCGGGGAGGAGGTGAGGCGGCTGCTGGCCATGGCCGAGGTGCCCGAGGAGGAGCTGAACCCCTTCCAGGTGCTGGGCGTGGAGGCGACGGCGTCGGACGCTGACCTGAAGAAGGCTTATCGTCGGCTGGCTGTGCTGGTGTGTGTGTGTGTGTGTGTGTACATGGGGGGCTCAGCGTGCCCCATCCCACCTCGCTGTACCCCGAAACGCGGCGCTGAGGATTTTTTGGTTTTGCCCCTCTCAGGTCCACCCGGATAAAAACGAGCACCCGAGGGCGGAGGCGGCGTTCAAGGTGCTGCGGGCGGCTTGGGACATCGTCAGCAGCCCCGAGAGGAGGAAGGAGTACGAGCTGTGAGTGTGGGGGGGGGACGCGGGGGGAGGGTTTGGTGTGGGGTCTGACCCCGTTTCCCCCCTTCCCCGCAGCAAGCGGATGGCAGAGAGCGAGCTGACGCGGTCCATGAGCGAGTTCCTGAGCCGGCTGCAGGACGACCTGAGGGAGGCCATGAACACCATGATGTGCAGCAAGTGCCAGGGGAAGCACAAGTAGGTCCTGAGCCCCCAAGGGGTGATGGGGGGGGGGGGGGAGCGTGTCAGTGGGTGTCATTCCCAGGGGGGTCAAAACCCACCCCCCTAACTCCCCCCCCCCGCAGGAGGTTCGAGATGGATCGCGACCCCCTCAGCGCCCGGTACTGCGCCGAGTGCGGGGGGCTGCACCCTGCCGAGGAGGGCGACTTCTGGGCCGAGTCCAGTTTGCTGGGGCTGAAGATCACCTACTTCGCCATGATGGACGGCAAGATCTACGACATCACGGGTGGGTGCGGCTGCCCCCACGCCCTGGGGGGGTGTGTGTGGGGGGGGGTGTCCGTGGGTGGCCCCCACCCCTGCTCCTGGCGTAGTGATCGTGGTGTCTCTCGGCAGAGTGGGCCGGCTGCCAGCGCGTGGGGATCTCCCCGGACACCCACCGCGTCCCCTACCACATCTCCTTCGGCTCCAGGAGCTCCGGGCGGCAGAGGTGGGGCGCGGTGATGGGAAAAGGGGCCTGACCCCCATCCCTGGGGGGGCTCTGAGCTCAGAGAGGCCCCCCCAAACACCCAACTCCCCCCCCCCCCCCCCCAACAGGAGTGCCTCCAAGGGCGGCCCCACCTCGGCTGCCGACCTGCAGGATTTCTTCACCCGCGTCTTTCAGGGGAGCTCAGGACAGATGCCGGGGGGGCCCTTCCCGCCACCCCCTACCCCTCCAGGGGCCACAGCCCCCCCAGGGGTGCCCCCCCGGGCTGAGGGGGCTGCCCCCAAAGGTGACGCGAAGCACAAGAGGCGGAAGAAGGTGCGTCGGCCGTTGCAGCGCTGAGCGGCGCCGGGCATGAAAAGGGCTCTTTCAAATAAAAAAAATCTATTTTTCTTTTTTTTTTTTTTTTTTTTAACTTTTTTTTAAAAAAAAAAAAAAAAAAGTAATTTCTATATTTAAAAAAGTAACCAGGGCGTTCTGCGGGCCGCAGCGGCTGACGCGAGCGGGAGGAGCTGGGCGTTGGAGGCAGCCGTGCCAAAGAGCCTGGGGGGGCTGGGGGGGCAGGCGGGACTGGGCCAGACAGACAGACAGGCAGCCCAGCCACCAGATCGTCAGGATTATTGTAAACGTTCAGGTCTGCGTCCAGTGTCACGGGGTGGGGGAGCCCCCCGCACCCCCCCAAGTCACTGCCGGGGGCCCTTGGTGGGGCCAACGTGACCCCCCCGGCTGTGCTACCCCCCAGGCTGCTGCGGCTGGGCAGCCTCTGCCAGCTCGATTTGCATTTTTTTTTTTTTTTTTTAAGCAGTTTGTTCCCTTTTGCTCATACAGATCTATTTATTACCGCAGGCAGCCCCTTTCTATTAATACACCCGCGTACGTTAACTGCGCTCCTCCTCCTCTTCCTCCTCACCGGAACCACCCGGCCCCCTGTGCCTCTGGTTTCGCTTTTCCTGCCTCAACTTGGTTTGAGGGACCCTCGTCCCCTCCCCGAGTGCTGGGGACGAAGAGCAGCTTATTATTTTTTTTTAGAAAAAAAAAAAAAGCCAAATCAGGAGCTGGTCTGGGCCACTGCTGAAATCCTGTTGGATTGTGAGCGGTTCTGGCCGAGCTGCCTCACCGAGCGTTTCCCCCTGCTCTGAGCACGGCGGCTGTGCCGGTTTTCAGGGGGGAGTACCGGCCCCGGGGGGGCTGCACGAAGCTCCCGGGGGGAGCCACTTGTTCCCCTGCCCGCGCCGAGAGCCGCTGCCAACGGCCACAACTGCTTTTCGCTTCACGGTTTTGTACTCCCAGAGCGGAGCAGCTGGGTTTTAAATGGTAGTGTACCCTTTTTCTTATCACTTTTAAATTAAAAGTACGGTTTGAAGAAGTCTGGCTGGTCTGTGCGGGGAGGGTGGGGGCTGGGGGGGTGTGAGTCGGGGCTGGTCCCACTGTGAGGATGCTGCTCCGGGTGCCCCAAGTTCTTTATTAGGGTGGAAACATAAAACATGAGGGCGAGGATGTTGTCAGCGGGCAACTCTTCCCCGGAGGTGACAGTTCTCCCCTCAGAGGCACTTTAAACGTGTATGGGGCACAACCGCTTGCTCCAAAGAGACAAAGCCCCAGTGAGGAGATACTCCAAGAGGGAGGAACCATCCTAAAACCCCAGCCAAGAGCCAGAGTGGCGCCTGCCCAGTGCCCAGCCCTCCTCACACCTCACCCCCTGCTCTCCAGCCGGCGCCTCGTGTCGCTCCGGTGTCCCCTCTGCGTCCCCCGGCTCCACCAGGCAGCGTGGCCGGCCGGGCCTCAGTATTTATTGATGCCAAAGACCCTCACGCCGTGGAACTGGGGCAGTTTGGGCAGGAGGACGCTGAGCAGGGAGGTCGTGTTGATGACGAAGTGCGCGGGGTCGTATTTGGTGTAGAAGCTGGTGAGGAGGTACCTGGGGGAGGGTGGGGGACCCCGGGTGAGCTCCGGGCTGCTCCCACCCTCCCCTCCGCCTGCACCCAGAGGGATTCCGGGTGCTGTGCTGGTGGGGACCCCCAGGGCTGGGGACCCCCAGCCTCGTTCAGCCGCACTCACAGCACCACCGGGGAGACGCTGAGGAACTTGCGCGAGGAGGTGCACTGTGTCCCGTAGTCTATCTGCTCCCAGTGCGTGAGCAGGCGATCCTTGCCCTGGTCTGGGGTCTCGAAGGGCGTCCCCTTCACCGCATGCAGCAGCACGTACATGACCTGCAGGTTTCAAGGCGGGGGGAGATGGAAAACAGGCCCGGGACAGCCTGCTGCTGGGACAGAAACACGCTTTGTGCCCTGTTTTCTGAATTAACGACCTTTCATCAGCTGCAGCTCCCCTCGCAGCACCAACCCCCAGCCTCGCGAGGACCAGGAGCTTCCTCATAGCCCAAGGACAGGGAACGGTAGCCAGTTCCGGGCTGAGGTTTGACTAACCAAGTTGTGTATGACGTTGGTGAGTGTCCAGACCACGGGGATGCTGAAGAAGGGGATGCTGAGGAGCACGACGTGCAGGACTCCCACAGAGATCCCGTACGCCAGCCAGATCCCCCGGCTGTTCATCACCCGCGTGTTGGGGTTCACCTCGCTGTGCGCCACGCCGACGTTCATCCTGCGGCGGACAACCGGAGGCTTCCAGGGGTCTCCTCGGAGGGATTTTCCCCAAACCTCCGCACTTCCTAACGCGGCCAGGGCTCTCGGCGTAGCCCCAGATCCTCGGGCTCCCTACAGCAGCTCTCACCCCGGCCTTCCCGAGCGCTTCACCCCGGCGCAGCCCCTGATGCCGGCTCCCCAGTTGGCAACTCCGCACCTCGGCCGCAGGGACGGGCGCACAAAGGCGGGGAGGGAGGAAGGAATGGAGCTCGCCCCCCCCCCGTCTCCAGCCGGGATCCGAGGAAAACCTGCCCCGTGTCAGAGCTTCCCGCTCCCCGGCGCTCGCCCCGCGCCGCTTCCCCCCGGGGAAGGGTTAGGACGCCTGTTCCCCCACCCTGAGCACGCGTGGGGCCGGGAAACGGCCACCGATCCCGGGCCGGGCCCGGCTGCTCCCCCCACAGCCCGGCCCCGCCGCCATGGCCTCGACCCCCAGGGCCCCGGCCCCCCACAACCCCCGGCTTCCCCCGCATCCCCCCGCTCCCCGCGGCTTCCCCCGCTCCCCTCGATCCCCGCCCCGCACCCCGTGGCTTCCCTCGATCCCCCCGGTTCACCCGTGGCCGTTGCCAGGGCCCCGCTCGCCCCCGGGCTCGTCTCCAGGATGTCCCCCTCACCCGGCCTGCTCCCTCCCATTGGCCGCTCCGCTCGTCGCTCAGCGCCTCCCCGCCCCCCCGCTCTTTGACGGGCCAATAGCGAGCGGAGAGCGGCGGGAGCGGGGAGGGACCGGCCAATCGCCAGGGGCGGTGTTGGGAGGCGGTCGGAAAGCGCCGGTTCAGGAAGCGCGGCGCTGATTGGGCGGCTGCGCCGCCGCCGAGGGCGGGGCCGGCAGCGGGGCTGTGGGAGCGACAAGATGGCGGCGGAGACCGTGGAGCTCCATAAGCTGAAGGTACCGGCCGGGCCGCCGCTGCCTCGGGACCTCCCGCCGCGAGGGGGGCGACCCGCCGCGGGTTGAGCCCCGGGGGCTCAGCGGCGCCTCCGCGGCTCCTGAGAAACGCAGATTATCCCTGCTTATTCCTGTGCTTTTCCAACTTTTTAATTTTATTTGAATTATCTGGTTTCTCGGCCTGCTTCCGCGCGCGCTAATCGGGAGCGTCTTGTGTTGTGCAGTTGGCCGAGCTGAAGCAGGAGTGTCTGGCCCGCGGCCTGGAAGCGAAAGGCAACAAGCAGGATCTGATCAACAGGCTGCAGGCTTACCTGGAGGAGCACGGTGGGTGCTGCTGGGTGTCGGTGGGTGCTGCTGGGTGTCGGTGGGTGCTGCTGGGTGTCGGTGGGTGCTGCTGGGTGTCGGTGGAGCGGGCGGCTCGTTAGCCCTGACCAGCGGCAGCGGGTGATCGGGGGAATCCCCTGGGCTTTGACCTTTGTCTGTGCGGAGCTGCTGGGGGAAGCGCGGAGCCCTGGCCCGAGCGCTTGGGAACGGGCTGTGCTTCCCGCTCTCCCGAGGAAAATTCCCAAATAGCTCTTACCCCAGAGGCCGGAGGTGTTCTTGAGGTAATTTGCTACTGCAATCGCTCTGTCGTTTTGTCCTCCAGCTGAAGAAGAAGCAAACGAAGAAGATGTCCTGGGTGAAGAAATAGAGGTAAATCTTTTGGGCAGACTGGCCTGTGGGCGCTTCTGGTTTGCCTGGCAGAGCGTTTCTCTTTTAAAGCACTGTTCTCGTTCTGTGTTGGGTCTAAACCTGCTGCTTTTTGTGCCAAAGGCCCGGTATTGCTCGGTGAGCATGGGGTCTCTCGCTTGGGGTGAGCGTGGGGAATCTCACTTGGGAGTGGGCTCGTTCTGTGGGATTCACACCACCTCACCCTGAGGGTTTGGGTTTTTTTTTGTCATGAACTGAGCAGCAAACGTGGCTGGAGCACGGTGTGCTTTTGAGAAAGGATTTGTAAGAAGAAGCTGGGCGGCCCCTGGGAGCCAGCCTTAAAGCAGGAGGGTTTTCTTCTGAGGAATTGAGGAGATCCCACCCAGGAAAGCGCTTTGTGCTTAAAGCACCGGTGGAAATGGATTCTTCCAGTCGCCGGGCTCTTCACCGCTTGGCACACGCTGCCTTACAAGGGTGGGTGGTGGATGTGGAAGGTTTCTCTCCAGTTTCACAAAAAGTATTTGGTGCTAAGTGAGGTGGGTCTTACTGGACCGATGCTGGACATCGAGCGTGAGCACTGGGTGGTTTCGCTGGCTCTGCTTGTGGGCTGCAGAATGTCACCTCAAGTTATTTCCTCAGCCTGGGGAGGCCCAGACCTGGTAAGGGATGAGAAAAACAAAACAAGGGTCTGTGTCCATAACTGCTGGTGTTCAGACCCGACCAGGCTGAGGCTGTAGCATGTAATCTGACTTCTTGCTGTAAACCTTGCTTTGCTGGGCTGAGTGAAACACGTAACACAGAGGTTTTGGCATCTGTGCGGGCTGCATTACAGCCGTGCGCCTTTGAAGCCAGTGAGAGGCCAGAAGCCCTGGCAGTGTCCCTGCTGTGGGGTTTCTTGCTCAGCTGGCCGCAGTGTTTATTACCTGACCTCTCGACTCCTTGACTTACAGGAAGAAGAGCAGAAGCCGGTCGAGCCGCCCGTCAAAGTAGAAGAGCCTCCTGTCAAATCACCTGACGTGTAACTATCCTTTCTGAGTAGAACCAAGCAAACTCGCGGGGCGCGAGGGCTGGGGGTGCCGAGCTACCCCCGGCCCCGTTTCGGGGTTTGGGCTGGAAGGGGGTCGCCGCTCACGTCGGGGGATCCGTGGGCTTTGCCTCAGCCCCCTGTGGTAACCCAGCGGCCGATCCGTCTGTCTGTCCGTCTCCCTGCGTGGCTGCTCTCCCCTCTGTGGCTCGAAGGACAAGCCCCAAGCCAGCCCTGGGCTAGTGGCTACCGGCCTGAAGTGGTGCGTGGGCAGGAGGGGGCGTCCTGTGCCCGCCGAGCCGTGCCGGCACCGCCGGCCAGCTCCAGCTCCCAGGCAGAATTGCTTCCTGTGAAAGTGCCATTAAACCATTACTACCTTTCAGGGCATAAAATGAGAAACCTGTCCAGGAATCTGGAACAAAAGCAGCGTGTTTTTCTAAATGGGAGACCTTAATGAGGCTGGCTGTGACCCACTGTTTTATGGGAGTTGTTTGGAGGAGGAGGATGCTATTTCATTTAGCCTGGGAACTTCCGAACGTTGTCTCTTCCTCTTTTGTTTTCTCCCTCAAGCCTGAGCTCTGTTTTCGGAGCATAAACTTTCGAGCACGCCCACCCCATTATATTTTCGTGCAGTCTTTTTACTGGTCCCGCTGTTGTCAGCTGCGCATTGTTCAGGAAGTGTGTGTTTGAAATGGAGCCGGGGCTCAGGGTGCTGATGCTGACCTGGGGAAAGTTGCCTGTGGCTGTCCCATGAACTAGAACAGAGCAATCCTTTGTCTTGGGGGGCCATAAAGGAATAAAGCTCTTCGGGGCTTGCAGTCGAGGCTTTGGGCTTCGAACAAGAGCTGAGTGTTACTGTGGAGAGCCTTAAGATGGGCAGGGGGTTACTCCTGGGTGCTCTGATATCCACCCTGAGTTTTGAGACCTGCAGCACCCCGCTAAAATTCCCAAACGTTTCTCTTGCCTCAAACAGAGTCGGTTATTCCTCCGAGCCCCTGCAGAGGATGGGTGAGAGCGTGGCTGGTCCTTGTGTCTTTTCCAGCTTGCTTCCCATCCTTGTCGGAGGCGTTTGGGAGGGCTCCCGGCGCTCGTTAGGCTCGTGGGAGAACCACGGCTGCCCCTTCACTGGGTCACAGCTCTCCTAATGCACCCTAGGCTTCGGTGATAAGTTTCACCGGCTTCATCCTTCAGCATCGATACCTGGCTCCAACCTTGCCCTCATAAGGGGGAGGCCGGCTTGTGGCTGCTCTCATTTTAAAAATGAGCCCTCGGTGAAGGTGGTGGTGGTGTCGCCAGGGACGGGTGGCTGGGAGGAGAACCCCGACACCTCTCCCACAGGGGCACGGCTGTGAAACTCGCGGGAGCTGTTCTGACAGATTTCTCTCTTTCCCAACACCTCTAGGATTACGGAAAAGAAGGTAGTGAAAATCACGTCAGAGATATCGCAGATGGAGGTAAGGTTCCTTCTGCTGCTCCATCCGCTGAGGTGTCGGTTTCCTTGTTCGCTTCATTCAAAGTCTCTTTTGTGTGTTGCTGAGGCACTGTCAGCGTTTCCATTGTAAACCTGCTTTATTTTTCCTTGATTTTCTATTAATGACCGGTCGCTGGCTGTGGCGTGGCCTGGCAGGGTGGTGACCCCACGGCACGTTTCGTTTTGACGCTAGATCTTAAGGAACGTTTCTCTCCATTGTCCGTTAACGCCTCTTTCCTTGCTGCTGGCTGCCGGTGCTTTCCGCCACCAACCACCATTGACCCTACCTCAATATTTCCAACTTACGGCGACAAGCCAAGTCATTCCTGCGCAAACAAAGATGGGCTTTGCCCCGTAGCATCCCCTGCTCTGGGGGATAAAGGATGACGGACTCGAACCACCTCTCTTCTGACTCTGGTGTATAAATTGTGTTTCCCGCTATCGCGAACATGAAAAGTTCTGCTGGGTTGTTCACCGGGCCGCGGCACATCCCCGTCCCTCGGGACTTGCTGTGAGCCCGGTGGCTTCAGACATGTAAAACTACAAAGCTCTGTCGAGAAGCCACTTCAGGGAGTAATCGGTTGGGGAGGAACTGATAGGACCTAACAGATCATCTCATCTTTATCTTCCCTAACACTGTCACATTTGCTGGGCTTATTTAAAACAAACACACTTAGAAGCTGCTGATTCCTCTGGGAAAACTTTGCGAAACTTTGAGTTTCAGGAATCTGATTGTGGTTCTTTAATCCTCCCCCTTATTTTTTTGCTCGTGTTCCATAAGAAAGAAATCACTATGAAAACATGATTCTTGTCTCCCTGCTGTTCACCACTACTTTAGAGTTTTAATCTTCTGTTTGGGACACGATCATTTCCACAGCAACCAGGGTGATGTCGCAAGTGGAGGATTATGACCTCAGTGAGGGAGTAATGAGGAGAAAGGCATTACCTGATGTGAGCTGGAAGCCTTGCTGAAGGAGCCATGTCCCCCGTGATGTGGGGCTGCTGATGGCTGTAGCTGGTCAAAGAGCTCATTAAGTGAATTTGCTGAAGTTACACCCTTGCCCTTTGTTTTTCTTCAGATTCTGCTGAGCCTATTCACGGGAAATCCGCTACTTTTATTTGTTTGATTGAGTGTGAATCAGATAGGTCCCCACAAAATCTTGTCGTAGATGGTTTTCGAAGATAAAAGGGAATTGTTTTCCCATACAATTAATAATTAATTGAACACTGGAGACTGTTATCGCGAGCTGTTACAGGTGGTGGAAATACAGATGAGCTCCAAAAGGGAGGAGACAGAATCCTAGGGAAGGGATAAACGATGCCAGTGTGAGCACAGCCTGAGGTTTAGCCAGTTGGTTGCGGTGGTGGCTGGAGCCGGGGCGGGCGTGAAGGTGGTGGTGGGGGGACCCTGGGGTGGGGGAGCCTTTGCTCCCACCTGGCACGGCCTGTCCGGTCCAGAGTCCTGCCAGAACCTGCCTCTTCTCGTGTTTCTTTTGGGTATTCTTCAAAGTGTCAGAAACAATAAGGAAATATGCTCTGACCCGAGTGGTACATTTGTCTGTCTGTTGTTTCTACTCAGTGAGTAAAAGTTCCTCGGTACTGACAGCGTTAGGAGTGGTCTTCCTAATCCATCTTTTCTAAACATTTATGTTTTGATGCACATGTTCATTACGCTCCTCACTGTGCTTTTGGCTAAAGTAAATGTTTCCATTAAAATAATATCTGTTTTTCTAACCTCTAAGACACCAAACACATTTTTGGGCCCTTGGGTAATAATAAAATGTTAAATATTTCCCTTAAGCTTTTAAGGGGATTTAATACTCGTAGGTGCAAACCCTTGCGCCTGCGGCGTTTCCAAGCGTTTCCGTGCCCAGGACAGCGTGCCCTAAGCCAGGCAAGGGCAGCAGGCCGAGTCCTTTCTACGTAGCTGAATTTCTTCTTGAATTGCGCCGCTGATGGCGAGCTCTGCTTGCAGGGCTGAGCCAACTGCATGAATAGTGTCGCGTCTCTTGTGAAAGGGCTTGTGCCACCGAGCTCCCTGAAAACAAACACACACACGCACACCCCCCCTCCACTTTTTGAGGATATTTCTTTGGCCTTTTGCTTGGGGGGGGAGGGGGAAGAAAAGGAAATCTTGTTTGCCTCTCTTCTTGCAAATCAGCCGAAGCCGGTTGTGCCTCCCGCGTGCTCCCTGCCGCCGGGAGGGATGTCGGGGGCTGCTCCCTTTGTAGTCCCTGCCAGGAGTGTGGCTCCTTTCCCCCTGGCACGAGGGCTGCCCCGGGCGAGGGGCGCGGCACTGGCCCCGCGTGCTGCCACACAGACCTCCGTCAGCACCCCGGTCCCGTTCTCCCTCGGCACCCCTCCTCTCCCCGGAGCGCTCCCTGAGCAGCAGAGGGACGGCATGCCTTTTTTATTAGTTTGTTTTCTTATTAGGCCTGTGTTTATCGGACCCGTGCGGGCGCCTTTTGGTCAGCGTGCGTTCCGGTGGCCGCGGGGGTGGCACCTGCCAATGGGAGGTACCCGCAGCATCTCCCTTCACCTGTGGGTGCGGGGGGGGGGGTTCCCCTTTCCAGGCTGCACGCTGCTGGTCAAACAGGGCACGTTGGAGCGTTAGCCCGCTGAGTTTATGTGCCTCTCTCCCTTCTAAGAACCCCTTTTCTGTACCCCTCAAACCCTCACTTTTCCTCAGTCGGTCCTTTTTTCTCCCCCCTCCAGCGGATGCAGAAGAGGGCCGAACGCTTCAACGTGCCCGTGAGCCTGGAGAGCAAGAAGGCAGCGCGGGCAGCTCGGTGAGTCTGCGCTCGGAGCTTTCTCCCCTCTTCTTCTGTGGGACAAGAGACCCCTGCGGCCCCATCTGCCCGCAGCGCGGTGGTTTGGGGCGAGGTGCCTGGGGGGGGTGGGACAGCACTGCTGGGGAGGAGTCGGAAGAACGCGGGGGAGGTTGCCTCCAGCCTGAACAAACAGCGGATGGGTTTGCTGGGAGGTTTGCAGACGCGTGCTGCGGTGCTTCTCACGAGGTGGGAGACCCCCCTGTGTCAGATCTGGGCTGCGTCTGATTGTGGGGTGCTCGATGCATGCTTTACTGGCACAGTTATTCTGGAAAGACAGGGCAGTGGGAGGGTAAGTGGTGAATGCTGGTGATGTGACTGGCTTTCTGGGCTTGGAGATTGGTTTTATGAAGAAAGTGGGGGATTGATGTATGCAGCGCAGGAGTTGCGGCAGTAGTTGCATTAGCCAGTAAGAGCCTGTGCCAGCTAATCTTGCCCCCAGACCAGTTTTGCTCAAGTACACTCATGAAAAGAATTCGAAGGAAAAGTTCACACCTAAGACTTGACGTGTCGACCTTATCTTTGCCCGAGTCTCTGACTGAGCTCTGTTTACCTTTGGCAGGTTTGGTTTGGCCACAGTTTCGACTAAAGGTGAGGAGGTGAAGCAGAACCAATTCATGGAGTGACCTTACTGCAAATATTTAATGATTCCTGCAACAAAAAAAAAGTTGCTGGTGGGGCTACCTTTGTTTCCACTTCTGTTTGTTTCCCTGACCATGCTCAGGAGCTCTGAGCGGGAATTGTAGAATTGTGAAGAAAGGGACACATGTTGCTCCCTTGGGAATTCAGACATGTCGCAGCATCTATTTTCCCTAAGCACAGCTGGAAGACACTAGCCAGGCTTCCCTGTGGTACCCCAAACAGTGTGCCAAACATCCTTTGGCTTCACAAAGCGCCAGGTTCAGTTGCCAAAGCCATCTTGGCGAAGGGGGACGGCAGCAGTTTTGTGGGGGGAGAAGCTGTTTTGAAGGTGAAAAAGAAATTGGATAGAGATCAAGGCTGGGAAAAACAGGTGAGTGGTTCCGCACTGGTCTGTGGTGGGCTGGGTGCAGGGCTGCTTCGGGCAACGCTGGGACTTTGCTGCACCTCTTTTTGGAAAAGATGCTGCTCCCGATGTTTCTTCTCTAACTGGGTTTTCTTTTTCTTGCCTTCTCGTTTCAGGCCTCTCTGCAGACAGCAAACCCACGGTAAGAAATGCTTCTTGTTCTTGAGTTACTGCTGATCAGGCCCTTAACACATGTTGTAATTTGTAGAAAGAGGTTCCTGTCTGCAGGGGTGAACTATCAAAATGGGCCATGAACAACATCTGTGGAGTGAGAGTTAATGGCATGGCCCACCTGCATGTCGTGCCAACACTGAACTTGTTGGGTTCCCGTCCCTGTGGCTGCCTCTTAGCACAGCCTTCTCAGATGAGCACATTTAGAATGAAATGCTGAAAGGAGCAAAGGTGGATATTTGTGGGGGTTTTCTTCATATGCCTGACTTCCATTCTGTTGTTTGAATTATGCTTCAGGAATGGAAATGACGAAGGGGCTGTAGTAAATTACTCTGCTTTTAATGGCCAATGCTGCCTTGCCTGTCCGACTCCCAGGTCGGAGGCACGGCAGTGAGCTGAGAGCTCTGGCAGCCCGGGCAGCCGGCTCGCTCTGCGCGTGCTCGACTGAGGGTGAGCGGGGCAAAGTAAAGCCAAGATCTCTCATCAGGAGAGGTTGTAGGTTCCTCTGGTGCTGAGGGCCTAAAAGACCTTGCATGAGTGTCTGTGGGGCAGAACAGCATCAGGGTTTCCCATGCAGAGCTGTGCCCCGAGCAAGGCTTGTCCCCAGGAGCCTGCGTGCGTCGGGGATAAGTGCCATGATGGTGGCTGGTGCCTCTCTGGGCACCCAATCGAGCTGGGTGCTGCGTGGGGGAGCTGCATGGTCCAGGGGACCTGCTTAGATGTCACGAGTTTTGGAAGGGTGAGAGTGCAGCAATGGCTTTCATAAACCTGTGGCAGCACGGATAATTTTTAGGAGTGCTGGCGAGTTTGCCCAAGAGGCTGTTTATTTTCTGTGTGTGTTGACCAGACTGCTCCAGGAAAGGTACCGGGTACCGCCGGCTCACAGGAACAGTCTGAAACAGCGGTTCCTCCGGGACAGGGAGCAGCACCGGAGGGGGTGTTCGCCCTTCGGTTGGTTTGCGGAAGCAAAGGGGCAGGCTGGCACTTTCCAGCAACTTCATTTGGGACCCTGGTCCTGCCTCGGTGCTGGCAGGAGCTGGTGCTGCTGGCTGTCACCGCAGCGCCCAGCGGAGTTTTCCCTGGGGCGGATCGCTGTGCATGGGTCTGTTCTGGGAGGCGGCCTTATCGCTCTCCCTGCAACTGGGATGTCAAAAAAAAATATAAATTGTTTCCTATGTCTTTGTAGGTAAACATGGATAAATTAAAGGAAAGGGCTCAAAGATTTGGGTTGAATGTCTCCTCGCTCTCCAAGAAGGTAAGGTGCCTTGGCCTCCAGGACACTTTGCACCTCCAGATTAGCCCGGTGCCCCAGCTCGTGGTGTGCCGTGACCGTTCGGAGCTTTGGTGCTGCCCGAGGTTTTACATCTTGTTATTAGTGCAGTGGCCTGGGCCCCGGACCCCGGGGGAGCCCTGTCAACACCGTTTCCTTCATCTTCCCTTCTGTTTGTTTTTGCGTGTGTGACTCTCGGTATGGTTTTGAGCGAGTTACGACTGCGGAATAGAGGTGTTGAATTTTAAGATTGTTCATCCACATTTTAGCATGGGAAGAGACGCCGTTTAGCGGGCCGTGTAAGTGGTTTGTTTCCAGGCGTTTGGCTCGCGCTGTGTAAGTGCACATTTCTGATTGCGGTAGGAGCTGAGTCTGTAACGACCAAGGTAATGAGCTCTCTGAAGAGAAGGCATCCAGAGCTCCCTGGTAGGAAATAACTCTTTGAAGTACAAATGAGATGAGCTTTGCAGGGGAATGGATTTGATCTTAGAGCTATTTATTTTTTTTCCCGGGGAGAAATACACAGAAGCTTCTGAGCGTAGCCCCTGGGTCCTCATACCCAGCAACTGGTTTAGCTCAGCCTCCGCACGAGGAGCCGTGGCGGGGTCTGGCAGGGGCTGGGGCCGCGCTGGACGGGTGAGCTTTGCTGAAGGGCTCTGAACGTGCTGGGGGGGGCCACAACAGGGTGTGCTTGGAGGTGGAGGTCTGCTGGAGAACGGTGCACTCACCGGTGTGGTAATCCCTTGCTGAAACATGTTCTGTAGCAAATGCGGGAGAAGATGAATTTAGCGTGTTTGGGGAGAACAGAAGAAAGGATAAATATATACTCTGAGATTAATACAACATCCTGTGTGCTTCCCAAACAAAAATAGCCTTTTCCTCTTCTGGGCTGTAACGAGCCTTGTGCTGCAGCACTGTTCAGAAATAGCGGTGAGCGAAAAAGAATTGTCCAGCTACAGCAGCTGGCTGATGTTGGCATGGAGACCTCTCCTCTCCATGCGGAAAAGGGTAAGAGCCAGGGGAGGTTCATCTTCTCTCCATCCCTGTGAAATAAGCCCCTCTCCTCCTCAGGGGGATGGATTTGACCTTTCTTGCTGCCTTTTTCTCCACGTACGAATGTTCTGCTTTATTCCACTGGCCCTGGGAATTCACTGATGTAGAAAATATCTGGCATTGGAGGTCGCTGTTCCCCCCCCTTCCCACTCCTGTCCCTTTGGGGGTGGGGGAAGGAGGCCAGTGCATTAAAGCTGGGATATGTGGAGCTCAGGGTGAGAGGCTGCTCAAACATCATTAACCCTGTCACTAGGAGCTCCCATTTTTCAGGAGGAATATATGCCTTGTCAATGTTTATGGCCGTGGCCTTCCCTGGGTAGGATTGTGCGGCTGCAGCTTAATAAGGCCGGGGCTTATGGAAGGAGTGGGCTTCCCGGCTTGCGCCGTGGTGCCTGTACATGGCAGAAACCTGCAGCCACCGAAGCGCGAGGTCTGAGCCCCCCCGCGCCGTTAGCCAGCAAATGCAGCTCACGGTATCCCAAGGAACTGCTCCCCGTGGCAGAGATGGAGACCAGCCGGTGGGGAGAACGCCGTGCTGGGGTCAGGATCGGTGGCAGGGCTGGCTCTAGCCGCCTGATCGCCCGGCGCTGGGCTTTGTGTGTCCCCCCCCCGTGTGTCCCCCCCCCCTCCCCAGCTCTGCCGAGCGGTGTCCAGCCCCAGGGCTCGCTGCGCCGTGTCTCTTTTTTTTTTTGTTTGCTCCACCAGGAAGCCGAGTTCATGGGCTTAGAAGTGGCTTCTCCCACTGAGCGGAGCACACTCTTGCATTCCTGGGAGGAATATTATTGGTTACTTTAATTAGCTGGTAGTATTGTGCTTCCCACCTGGGTGCTCTTTATAGCTTTTCATTACGGAGGAGCCTGGCAGTTGCGAATGTTTACATGTGTCTTGGCAGGTTTTTATACCATGCGTCGCAGCAAAAACTTTACAATAAACCATTGTCTCCACGGAGCCACACTTCATTTCCTATTCAAATTGGTTTGGGGAGGGGTAGGGATGGGGGGGTAGAATCGTAGCTAAGGGGGATTTCAGACCTGCTGTGAGCAGGGAGCAAATGCAGAGCTGCGTTAGTGGCTGTGAACTCATCTGTAGCTTTGAACCCCCCTTCCCCCTCTGTTAGCCCTCTGGGGTAGAAATCTTTCAAGTTTAAAATCCTCTTCCTCTCTGTCTAAAGGAAAAGAGAGACCCCGGTCGCTGGGAGGAGAGCAGGCGAGCGAAGAGAAAGGTTGGCTGTGCTGGAGCAGAAGAGGCAGGTGCTCATTTGTCTCGAGGCAGCACGGGGCCATCAAATTAATTTTTAAAATAAATCAAGCAAGCGTTTATCTCCCTGTAGCACTGGCTCTCCCCTCCGAGGCCTCCTGTTAAAGCACACGCTCGCTGACCTAAAGCTACCATCCCTTGACTCCTGTTAGTTGTACTTAACCCCCCACACTTGTAAATGTTCCCTCTCTATAGCAGCTGCTCCCGGTAACACTCAACTCTCCGCTCCCCAGGGGAGGATGTTTAGCTGCATGTTTTATATGCAGGGTCTGATGCTGCAGAGGGAGCTGCCTGCGTCGTGGCTGTGATTCAGAAGCATTTCTCCAAGGGGGTGGTTTGCTCTTTATGTATAAAATAGCCTCGTACGTCTCCTGCTGAGAAAGTGTTGGCACCAAATGGACAGCGAGAGACCTTGGGAGAACATAAAAGCTCTGTTTGCCACCTTTGTATCACATTATCAAATACCTTTCCCGATCTGAACAGATGACTAAAATAATTGGCTTTTATATCTCCTCTTTAACGTGGAGGTCTCAAACTGCCTCACAAACAATTAGCTGATTAACCCTCGGCCGTTCAGAGGTTGGGAGCAGAGGGGTGAAGCGACTCTGTGCCAAGGTCGCTCCGAGTCAGGAGTCCTCACTCAGAGCCCTCTTCTCCCCGGTGCAGTCCCCTGAGCCGGGGGTGAAACAAAGGATTTTTGCCACAAATCTCCGTATGCACGCCTGGCATCCTCACCCCTCATCACGGGGACCCTGTCCGATCACTGACTTGGGGACTTCTCAGCGCCAGGGGAAGTTTCTGTGGCTGTTGAGAGGCCTGTCAGTAGCGAGGCAGAGAGGGGAGCGTGACTCTCAAACCGTGTGTCACCTTGAATAACTTCATTTTTCTTTGCCTGGTTGCGAGTCTTCCATTTTACAGCTGGAGCATAAGACACGTCGAGAGCCTTGCAGGCGTCCCGGCTCGGATCCTGAGCACGGGGAGCTGATGTATCCCCTTGATCCAAAGGTACCGTCTCCCCTGGCTAGGAAGAGTTAATGTTTTAATACAGCCATCAGTCTTGATTAATGCTGGTTTAATTCCGGTTAATGAGAATGTGTTTTACATGGAGCAGATCAGAGCTGCGCTCAGCTGGCCGGAGCTGGCAGGCTGACTGCGTGACGTTTGTGTGGTGCTGGAGGGGAGCAGGGGTCAGTGGACCAGCAGAAAGTGTGTGTGTATACAAAATAGCTAAATGAGAGAGAGAAAACAATTGGCTTAATTGTTTGGCTTCCAGCAAGCTTATAATAACGTGCTGAGGAGGAATCCTTTTCCTGGATAATTTTTCTGCCTGCAATCTTTCCAAACACCCCCTGCCAGCCCCGGATGAGAAGCTATTAACCACCAAGGAAGCAAAGGGTGGTGGTGGGGGGAGATGTTGGCAATGGAAAGGAAAAAGGATTCGTGGACAAGGATTGTTTCTAGCAAGCACCGGGGATGGACGTGTCGTGCGTGGTGGCATGTGCCTGCGTTTTTGAGAAGCGTGATTGGCTTCTGTGGCCAGTTTGTTGTCAAGAAACGGCTTTTGCTGTCACTTTGAAGAGATGGCTCCTGCATTGTTTGAAAGGGCTCGTGCCCCTGAATATTATTTTCTTTCCAAACTTCACTTTTCCTGGCTGTCATCAGCTCTGTGTCATCTGGTTGCTGTCCTCTCTGCTTCCTACCCAGTCTCTGCTGTGGCAGGACAGAGGCGAGCTGTCTCCTCCGGGTTATAACCCAGCCCCTCCTCTGTCTGTGTGCTTCATCTTAATTCCTTCTCTCTTACCTTCTGTAGTGCGTTGTGATTAGAATGTATATAAAAGACAGCCTGGGAAGGTGTCCTCACCACACTGCAAATTTGCAGTGGGGTTTTATTTGTCCTGAGAAGCTGACGGCTCATCTGCGTGTTGTCGGCACATCGTCCCTCTTCAGGGCTGCTACACGAGCTCTGCTTTTTCAGTGGGCTTACAGAGCACTTGGCACTTAAATCAGCCACGTAAAAGAAGTTTGGTTTTTTTTTCTCCTCCCTTGAAGCAGCATCGCAGTGACACGTGGACCGGGCAGGGGAGCGCGCCAGATGTGGAGGAGCTGGTATGTCGTGATAGACCGCACGACGAATGCAAGTGCTTCTGTGGGCAGAGCTGCGGTGCTGCACTCGGGACTTTCCCTGTGCCCTGAAATTCCCATGACATTGTGCTTTTAATTCTTAATATTTTTAGGTATTTAAAAAAGCTGCTCTAGATAATTTTTAATGGATTTTCCATCTCCCTCTGAGTTGGACTAGTGGTAACTAAGGCAGCTGGCTTTACAGGGGGAGAAGATTAAAAAATAGTTCTGGTCCAAAGAGCAAAGCCCTCTAAAACACCCTTCATGTTTTCACTTGTTACAGAAACTTTTCCATAGCCCTGCAGAAAGTAGAAACTAGGTCAGATAGAAGGCCGCAGCTCGCATTGCACGGGGGTGCAGAAGCAAAGTTGGAAGATCCAGACACAGACTAATGCGGGTAGCACGGAGGGTTGGAGGGTTGAAGCCGGGAGACGGCAGCCCGAGGCTCAGCAGCCGATACCTCGAGGGCGCCTGAGCTGGTTCGTGGCTTTTTTTCACCTTGGCTGTTGCTGAGCAGGTCTGACTGCAGATGGGTAACAGCGTCTGTACCCAAA